ACGTAGAAAAATTCTTTGTCGTCAGTTTCGAAAAATCGTTTACTAGATTCTAAACTTTGTGTTTGTGTGCAGGTTTTTCAATAATAAATGTGTTAAGTCTCAAAGATTTTCAAATTCTTAATTCTGAATTTGTTAAGCTTGGTACATTATTAGCGTTTTAGCATTAGCTTAATTCATCAACATCTGCGCGTTTTTTTCAGTGCACTAGCTGCTCAAAAAGTATCTGGAGAGCGCATGAGCTCTACTATCTGACTCGCTCGCACTCCTACAGACACCCGCTGGGCGGGCAAACAAGTGTCGCGGTGCCAGCAGTCGTCCCGCTCTTACCATCGTACTATGTGCCTCTTTCTGGGGAACGTCGCTCGCTTCGTTCAATTGTTTTTCAAACTTCGCTCGGGATGGACGTGTGCGCGCTCTGAAAGAAAAAAGTGAAAAATTGTGTGACAAAGTGCAAATAAGCCACAACGCGCATGTGTGAAATCAAATTTTATTGAGAAGCATCAAAAATTGTATACATATCGAGCGTACCCACATCGCTGTATGTGTGAGTGTGCCAGTGCTAGTGTCGTTTTCCCTTTTTGCCGTGGAAAATATGAAAACTGAATGAAAAACTCAATCGCATTCAGCCAGAGCCGAATTGGAAAAGAGTAACTCGCATTGGGGACACGCAGAGGTGTCTCGAAAAAGGTAAAATCTTTTACACAGAAGCGACGCCAGAAAGCGATTAGCGATTTTTGACTATGTGTGAGTGTGTAATTTCGGTGTGCTGCTGTGTGTGTGCATTTTATTTAACTTTTTGTTTCGTGTATGTGCACTGTAAAAATAGCTAAAGAGAGAGGGCAAGTACTCTCCGCTCTCTCTCTCTCTCTCTCTCTTTGTGAGTCGTGAGAGCCAACTGCGACGTCACCGTTCAAGTCTTTTTCAAGTGGCGTTTCTTTCTTTTTAATGTGCTGCTGTGATGTGCTTCTTCTTCTTGCCTTCTTCTTTGGCTATCTGTTTTGTGGTCAATCTTTTGTTTTGAAATACGCTTTATCTACGTCTCTCATGTGATTGAGTGTGTGTGTGTGTGTGTGCGAGATGATCTTTACTTCTTTCCTCTCTTTTTTGTTCTCGCTGATTTTTGTATTTTTTTAGTACACGTAATTCCCGCAGATATCGAACTCAGCTGCTTTTTGTTTTGATACGCGGAATCCATTATCAACCCGCTGGCGCAGATACCAAAAAAAAAAAAAGTAAGAAACCAGTTGGGTTTACTCGAAAATGATTCAAATATCTGGGTGTAAAGATCTTAAAGTCTCCACCTGAAAAAGTATCAAACTTTTCCATTACCCATTGAATTCACTTACGAACATGACTAATTGCTGTTTTAATGGCTAAACGAGCTGCTGTTTTTATTTGTCCCGGTTCAAGTACTCAACTTTTGTTTTTATCGCTTTTGTTTGTCGCAAGATTTGGATTGTTTTCGCGCGGAGTCTAATGATAACTGCCTTGCCTATGAAGGGGTGCTCAGAATTCCCGTCTCGAAAATAATACATTTATTGGGGACTTCTCACAGTTTATTTGAGCTGCCTGTAATTACCTTGTTTTTGTTGCCAGGCACTCGCTAAACTAACTTGTTGTGTGATTATTGGTGAGCTTATCAGTGCGCACAGTTCACTATGGATTGGCAAAAAGGGTGTGGACATCGGGGATCGGGGGGTCCAAACAAACAAGGGCAGGCCTCCTTTTTGTTTGGGTATGGGTGTCTGCTGCTCTCATTTGAATTTCAACAGAATGCTAGAAAACAAATAACAAACAGCTCAAATTCCACCTCGTTTCACATAGCTTCCTACTTCATGTGCAAATTTCAAATTCAGTGAATTCACTTCGCTTGGCAGGCAGCCAAACAATTTGCGTTTACTTACCGAGTTAAATTTCCCAACTCTGCATTTTGCACGCAAGAAAAACACCAATCTCATTTTAAGTGGTTCAAAAGTTCAAAGCATAGCAGTTCAAAGAAAAGGTACTACTTCTTATTTCCCCCCCTAAATAGCATGAATCTAATTTAAAAACGATCTCAATAGGATAAATAAACAAGTTTCAAGTTTAATTTCGATATGGAATTGGGAACAGGGCCCAATGAACTTTGCTGCTCAGACTTTTGAGACTGAAATTTGAGGAGTGAAAACATATTTGTTGGTATGTAAATTAAATTGGCCTAATCAGTGTTTGTTTAGCTGTCAATTCACACTTGGTTCGTTGTCTGCCTCGCTTGTCTGCTGTTTTCAGAGCTGCCAAATTCAACAGACCAGCTTTAGCTTTACTTGCGAGCTTGTAAGCCAAAAGCGATTCAATTGATATGTGCAATAGGCTGAATGTATCTTTTGTGTCGGCTGTCTTGTTTGATTGCCTTTGTGTGGCAGAACAGCTGGCAGCTGATCTCAATGCTTTTCCCTCACTTGTTTGGATTTTGGCTCGACTTGCTAATCAAATTTGCTTTACTCAACGCACTGAGAACTCCCGGACAAAGTAGCACGGAATTCCTCCGTCGCAGTTGCAGATGTTTCAGTTACAGCTGAGTTCAGTTCTCAGTTCCTTCCTCTGTCTGCGTTGCTCGCTGTCGTTGACCCAGTTTCAGTTCACCTTATATACGTACGTATATGCAAACAGAGCCTCCTGCTAATGTGGAGCATTCGGAGTGTGGGGAAGGTAGTTTTGCGTCGTACTTGCTTTTATGGCGGTTTCCCCAAAGCTTTCCCTGCCATGCTCTGTTTTTTCCATTCGCTGATAAGACCATTGTTTTTCGCTTACTCATCCCGTGATCTTTGCCTGATCTTCAATCACTATCTATCGGTTTCAATTAATTGCAATTATAATATAATACTAAATACTATACTGAAAAACCTCCGTAGACTGTGTTCCGTGTTCCAATCAATTTTCGCAACATTGGCTTGACATTTTCCCGGGACATTAACGGATGGCCGCGGGGTAAACACCCATTTATTTAAAGGCATTTCCTAGAAATAACGCTATCGAAATAGCCGCCTTAGCCTCTTGGGAGCGGCGATATACTTCTCCGTATTGTTTTTGCGGCGTAGAGAAGACAACGGAGTGAATCACCCCGAGTTAACGAACCTCCTCATCCGAGCACCTGATTTCGTCAAATCGGTTAAGTGCCTTTTGTGGTTCCCCGAACGATTGTATCTCGATAGTTGCTGTGTATCTACATATACACATAACTATCCGCATGTCTGGCTCTGAGATTAGCAAACGGCGCCGTCTGGTCTCGATCAGGTAATAATTACATAGCCCAGCAGCTGGCAAATATGCATTCTGCTATCTTTATGACGTCTGCACTTCCCTGTTTGCATGCCGATTAGAGGATTGCTGGATGGCCAGATTGCCAGAGCATTGGTGATAAATAGAGGTGTGTCTACAACGCAATTCGCAAATCGTGCCACTTCTCTTGGCAGCTTCGATTATAATTATAATTGCCAGCACACTAATTTGCGAACCTTTGCCCAGCCGCCGTATCAGCTGCGGAGCTTCCCGACCTCATTTGTTCACGTGCCACACGCTTGACTAGTTCCAGTAGAACCCCCAACTCATGATCACATCCCACTCCCCTGTTTGGAATTGCTTCCAATAAACAGCGCGCTCTATCAAACGTTTTCTAATATAGCGCATGGTTCAAAGGCTGATTTAATTGTCAAAATACTATATAACGTATTCCATTGCCAATTGTTGTTTGTGGAGTGATTGTTAAATGGATCAGTCAGCCACAAAGTGATTGATCTTCACAGTGATTTATTCGAAACTTGATAGGACGCCAAATGTTATTGATCCTCGCACATCGGGTGAGGTTTTTCTATTAATAATTAACGAGCTGTGAGGTGAGCTGGACTTCAAAACAATGATAAGGAGTATCAAGCACTTTCTGTAAATGAGATAAGATTTAATACAGAAGTATCTGGTTTAAACTGATTACACCCAAGAACTATAAAATAGTTGTCCCCGCCCGCCACTTAATGTGTCGTCATCAGAATCGCAACCGGAACTCATTTGCATTCTCCGCAGTCGCGCGTCTGGTGTTCCGTGGCGGAAACGACATTGAACCCTCGGCCTGCGTGCTGAATGCACTTGCTCCGATACGAGATGCGATGCGATGCGGTTGAGAACCTGTTTTGGGGCAGTTGAATTAATGACCCGGTGGTGATTCAGGCCATAAAGCGATCAATTGTGGCAGGTTAAGGCGATCGCATATGTAACCCAATTTGTTACTAACCAATTTTCCCTCTACATTTCTCTCATTGCAGACTGAACAAAGCGGCAGCAGGATAAACGAATTTCCCAAGCAGCGCGTTCAGCGGGAAAAGCTCCGGGGAAAAGAAAAGCGTCCAGCAATCGTTAAACTGTTTCGCGCGGCGGGGAATGGTATATTTCTTGGGGGATTGGGGCATGGGAGATTCTGACTTGTCGTCATATCAGCAACATGTTCCAAATATACAGCAGCCACAACGCATCCATGGACATGATCTACTCTTGCAACAGCAACAGCAGCAGCAGCAGCTCCCACAGCAGCAGCAGCAGCAACAACAGCAGCAGCAAGAACTTGTGGCACAAATCTCCAGTAGCCTAAGCCAAGTGCAACCGCAGTTGCAGTTTGCCAGCGGTTCCAGCTTCCTGCAACAGGGCTCATCTCCCTCGCCGTCCCAGCAGCAACATGGTCCTGTCAGCAGCAGCAGCCTCGTAACTGCCAATCTCCAGCAGCTGTCGGTGAGCAGCAGCAGCTCCAGCAGCAGTAGCAACAACAACAGCGCCAGTGGCTGCAACACTCCCACCAAACCACAACAGCAGCAACCACTACTGCTCCCAGAAGCAGCTGCTCCTGCTGCCACCGGGGTCGGCAAGTCGTTCAAGAACCCACAGCTGAGCAAGGATCTTCTGGACAATGAGGATGAGGTGGCATTGCACCCGCTCTCCAACCAGGTGAGTCCTAATTAAGAATCAACCAAACCCCATAAGCTATTTTGAAGTGTATTTGTGCCCTCTGGCTTACTTCTTCCTAATCTCTATGAGTAGGGCACTGTATAGAGCTTGACAGAACTCCTCGAGACCCGCGTACGTGTTCTTCTCGATGAAGGTCCTAACCACCGCCCACACAGACTTGAGAAACTGGATCTGGGCGAAGATCAAAACGTCCGTCTGCTCTTCCACGGTGGCCTTCAGGCAGAAGTGCATCAGAACGACGAAGGTGTCCGCGTAGGGGATCTCTGCGTTAACACTCCGCACATCGATAGAGTACAGTTGGCCGGGTTCGCTGCACTCGCGCATGGTCTGTGTCTCGGTAACCTTGGCAATTTTGGGACCAACGTTCGCCTGGAGTGCCACAGTCATCGAGACAGTACGCTGATTCTGGCCACCGGCATTCCGCGCCCAGGCGCCCATACGCAGATCGGTAGATTTGCGCTTGTCATGGAAGTTCTGCAGAAACGGCGAGGCAGAGAAGAGCATGTTGAACAGTGCATCCACCCGCACCATCAGCCGCTCCTGCAGAAGCTTGCGCCCTTCGTGCAATGCACTGCACCGGGCAGTCATGTCATCCGGCCTTCTGTTCCCTACGGCCGTTTTAAGTTTAAATGGTTTCGATGGGCTAGTTGTTAGTGTGTTGCGATTGCTATTGGCCTGTTTTCCGCGCTTACCGGGTGTTTCCGGCATGTTTTCTCTGCTGACTAGCGCCGTAGTTGCCATTGAGTTGCAACGTGTGCTCCGCACACTCAGCTTGCGATGTGTCCTACTTCGATCCGTCTGGGTAAAGTTTGATTGCCTTGTTGATGCAGGTGGCTTCTTCTTTCCGGCGGCGTTCGAATCAGGCTTACTCTTATCATCCCTGACTGCCGTCGAGGCTCGCCGGTTGCCCCAGAATAGGCGTTGGCGTGTGCTGGTGGCCGTTGCCGCATCCTGAAACTCCACAGCGGTCAGCTGACTACGTAGTATGGGCGGATTCCTGCAATTCGAAGTGCTCCGGCTCATACGATTACTGTTACTGCTAGACGGCTTGTCCATCTCCAAATGCTTACGGAAGCGGTTGTTCAACCGGGCCTTAATCGACTTCATATCCTAGCCAACGATCTTAGTCATCTTCAATTAAAACATTGTCATGAAACCATAAAAACGAAACACACGAATTTTGTCAGGTTAAAGGAAGTATTTACAGCCCAGGCCCAGATTCTCATGGGTGTCTAGAGTTTCCCGCCAGTTCGCATTCATGCTGCCGATAGGAGCCAAGAAATGACGTAGGACCGTAGGATGATAAGATATCACCAATCACGGTTTTGGCCACACGCCAGTTAGCAAGTTTCTCAGCTAACTCGTTGGATTAGGTTCTTTGTTATGGAAAAAAACACAAACAACTGCTTGTTTATCAACCAGAAATGTACCATCATGGTGCGCTGTGTTTGATTTAATCTAGATGCTATAGAGGACCTTAAACATAAAGATGCCCACTTGGATTAATAACAATGCTTATACCCGAGAGTATTCATTTAACATTTTGTAACATTTTGCATTCCAGGTCGGAGGACACACTCGCCTGTTGCTGCTCAACCAGTCGACGGTGATTAAGCCGCTGAACCTGCGCGAATTGGACTTCTACCAGAACATTCCGCAGGACATACTGAAGTTTGTGCCCAAGTACAAAGGTAAGATACCGACTGTTTCACCACCCGCATCAAAAACTGATCACACTTTTAAATGCCAATTATCGATTCTGTCGAAGCGCTTCATTTGCTCTTTCGTTTCGAATTAACTAATTCATTCAACCGTACAAAAAAAAAACCAAAGAAAAAAAAGAAAATAATAAAATTCAACATTCTCAATCGCGCCAAGCATTTGTCATGTGTCTTGAGTTCCGAAATCGCCAATTTTTATTGAATCGAACTTTTGTTTTTGAATTAACTCGCAACAAACAAAAATGATTAAGCCAAACAACCAACCAATTTGCGTTTGCTCCTCTTGTATCGTCCCTAGATCAAACCAAATCGCATTCGAATATCATTTTTATTTTTAGTACTTTTTCTCTACAACTATATAACTAAAAAATATGTGATATCCGTAGTTTGTAAGCTGAATATTTTAAATGAAAATAAAACCGATCTCAAAAAAAAAAAAAGCAAAAAAAAATAAGAAAAGAAATAAAAACTGACGTAAAGACTGAACCATATACCATAATATGTAGCTAATCTATAGCTTTAACGATTTGTAATAAGAAAGCGAAGATCGAAAATAAAAGAACCAAAAACGTTATAGCTGCCACATGCCACAGAACATTCTCTGACTCGACGACGCCTGGAACTAGTCACTAGTCCGGGTCGCCAACGCCCGAACCAGAGACCTTTTCCGATTAAACCCCTTAGTTAGTAAAACAATGAGAACAATGGGTAAGTCGCAAACCAAACAACCAAATACCAAAAAAAAAAAAACAAACCAAAAACCAGCCAAATACCAAGCAAACTCCAACCCAAAAGTAATGTAATGTAATCGTAAATCGAATCCCTCCATAAGGATTGTACACTTTTTGCCAGCAAAAACTGTACAATCGCTCGAATGGAAGTGGATTAATTTAAACCAATGCACTCCCTCGATTCGGCGCTTGTATATACATATATAGATTATGGTTGCCCGGATCGGGGGGCGTGACCCGCCACTACATGTACGTCTATGCTCGTATTATCCAAAGGTTCGAGGTGCCTGCCTGACAGACCCGCTCGAGATCTGCCGCCGAACCGAACCAAGCAAACCTCACCGAACCGAACTGAAATGATCCGAACCGGAGTCCAGAGAGTCCTCCTTTATCGGGATCGGGATCGGAATCGGAATCGGCATCGGCATCGGGAAAAAGGGAAAGCGTAATGCCGTGTGTAAAGTGTAAAGAATTGTTTTTTTTCCGCAATGAAACAAAGAAAATCGAGTTTTATTTTATGTGTTTGTTCAGAACGCACATCGTGCCGCCCTCCTCCCCTCAAACGTTGTGTTGTTGTGTAGTCGTCGTCGCCATCTCCGTCTCCGTCTCCACTCCGCTCGTCTCATCTCGATCCCTAGAGATCCTAAGTGATCAGGTCCGCCCTGCTCTGTCCTGTCGGTTAGAATGCAGGCGAGCCAAAGCGAATGGGTTTGTATGATTAAAACACATCAATCTATTTACTTTACATATGTTAATTTACCAATGTTTAATATACCATACGAATACAATTACAAATACAAATACGATACGATTCTAGATTCTACCGTATGATAGTTAAGACGATCCCATTTTAGTATGTTAAGTTGAGGAAAATCGTAGCCAGTGACAATCTGACAGTTTTTGAATCCCATATTTCTACTTTACTATGCACATGTTACTGCGTCGGTTCGTTAAGTCTATATCTATCTGTATTGCACCAACTTAGCTTAGGAGTAGGCTTATTTACTACCTCCATTTAAACGCATAAACATTTGGAAGCCATCTGATTCCGTCTGCCGTTGGAAATGCATGATGCACTTGTCGAACTCATTGCACCAAAGAAATTTTTGAAAACGCAGCTCACTTGATCAAAGTGCTCCGCAGTAGATTGAAACATGACTTTGCCTTGATCACCTGAGCAGTGTTCTATTTCCATCATCCCTGAGAGTAATCGTGTTTGTCTGTTCCGAAACATTTTGTGTGTCTGCTAACCAAAACTGAGGACCCGCTGCCTCAGCCTCCATTTGCCACATCCAAATAATCCTCCTAACCCATCTTTCGTGTCGAATCGATGCTAAACTACAAACAACTACAGCCAGATGAGAAGAGTATGCTTACGCGCAGTTTAGTAATCCCTTTACCCGGCTCGTCTCTGTGTCCATTCCAGGCGTCATGCAGGCCACCACCATGGGCGGAGCCAAGCTGGACAAGCGCTACTCGCCCAGTTTCCGGGATGACGCGGCCGCCGTTCCCGTTCGCAAGATGAGCGCCTCCAAGAGGAAGCGGGATGAGGTGCTGAGGTGGGTAGTCATAGTTATAGTAATCATAAGTCATATTAAATCACCATTCGCATTGCAGAATGAAGGTGCACAAGAATGGACAGGCAGCTGAGGTGATCAAAAGCATCTCACAACTGGACAACACCAATAAGCAATGTAAGTATTTTCACTCTAAAGACATACCTCACTGTATATAAATATGTGTATTGTCCTGCAGACTTCCTTATGCTCGAGAACATCACCTCGCAGTTCCGCAATCCCTGCATTCTGGACCTGAAGATGGGCACTCGTCAGCATGGAGATGACGCCTCGGCGGAGAAGCGCTCCAAGCAGATGGCCAAGTGCGCGGCCAGCACTTCCGGATCGCTCGGCGTTCGCTTGTGCGGAATGCAGACCTACCTGGCCGATCTGGAGCAGTATGCCAAGCGTGACAAGTACTGGGGCCGCGAGCTGAACGAAGGCGGCTTCAAGACTGCGTTGCACGATTTCTTTCACAACGGCTACCGCCTGCGCATCCGCGTCATACGCAAGATTCTGCAGCGCCTGCTCCAGTTACGAAGGGTGATTGAGAAGCAGTCTAGCTACAGATTCTACTCTTGGTAAGTAAGCAACATCAGGTTCTTCATACTTACAAACACATAATGTGAGCAATTAGATGCGGTACTAATTATAAAACTCTTGTTCCCAGCTCACTGCTCATTGTGTACGAGGGCTTTGAGGAGAATCCGATGGCTTACCCTCCCTCCATGGGTCTGGATGAGTGGCCAGAGGCTCCCAGGTCGGCTACCGTGCCTGGCACCGTCTTCGATTATCATCCGGAGAACAGCATAGATGAGGACGATCTGGAGGATGAGGACGAGGCAGGCAATGAGGCTGGCGATGAGTTGGAGGCGCACGACACCGACGAGGATCTGCACCTGGTGGCCGCCGACAGCGGCAACGCTTCGGCCACAAACAGCAGCACTGGAGGCGATGCCTGCAACTACGATGCGGATGCCTCCAACGATTCCAACTCATTGCTCGACCTGGCCACCAGACGTCACCTGCACAAGCGTGGATTCGCAGAAGCAGCTGCGAGGGGAGTTAAGCAGACTGCGGCCCACAACACCACTACCGACGAGGAGGAGGAGGAAGAGCATCCGGCTATGCCACCGCCTCGTACTTGTGGTGTTATGGCCGCCAAAGCGGCAGCCACTGCCGCTGGCCTGGCCGGAAAGGGCCAGGGCGCATTCATTCCAATCTCCGAAGAGACAGTATTTCTGGACCCAGAGCCAGCGCTGCCCAGCGTGACGACTTCATCGCCACATTCCGGTGACTCATGGATGAACTATAGCAGCAACAGCAGCGACGACTTCTCCGGATTATCCGAGCAGATAAAGGCTGTGGCCAGTGGCCGGCAGACATGTAAGAAGGGCCTATATTTATACTTTGTACAGCCTTTATTCAGTCTTTTTTGTTTTTAGGCAATAACAGCAGCGATGACGCAAGTTCAGATTACGAAAGCAGTATCATTGGTCCCACGGAGGCCATGTTTAAGCGCTATAAGTCTCAGCAATCGTTTGACGCCACCACAGCTGCCGACTCAGCATCCTCCCCGCCACTCACTGCCGGAAACTCTAGCGTTTCCAATGGCGGCACCACTGTCCGCTCACTGGTTTCGCCCGCCTCATCCAGCGCCTCTTCCCTGAAATCAGTCAAGGGTGCGGTAAAACGTCTTCGATGCAATGATGACGATCAGCAGTCGGCGAGCCTAGGGGAATCGGATTTGCGCGAAGCAAAGAAGTCGACGATCACATCGACGCCCGTTTCGGCCGTATCCTCACCTGCTAAGACAGCCCCACAACTGCGAAGCTGCGAGAGTATCTCTAACCAGCAATCTCTGCTGTCGGGTCTGCTCCTGGATAATAATAATGAGCAGCGTCGCAATGCACTCCTGCAACAAAGCTCAAAGTCGCTGGACATGTCGGCACCGCCCACTGATGATAACCAGTGCTTCGTGGACGTACGCCTAATCGACTTTGCCCACACGGCATTTGTGCCGCGCAATGGCACCATGCTACCCACTCCGGCGGCAGCTCCGGTGCACCATGGACCCGATGGGGGATTCCTCACCGGCCTAGACAGCCTCAACCGCCTGCTCAACGAGATTCTGGCCGAGGAGCGCGTCTAAGGTCGCCATGAAACCAGATCGGGAAGAAGAAATATGAATATATATGTGGGAACTGGGGGGGAACACAAGTTAAAAGTACAATTTGATTTGAGAATACCTAAATTGTTGTAGCAACATGAGTTAAATTATGAAACAAAATCAACTAATCTTTAGAAATTCAAAATGTGATTCAAGCAAACCTATTTAACAACCGCATATAGACCTAAAGTTTTAACTTTTAACCGACGCGTAACGTTAAGTAAATGGCGGGCGGAGCGTGTTCCCCCGATTTATCGCAGCATTTGTGGAGTACCAGGAGCGGAGAAATTAAAATTAATTTGTAACAAGTCGCTTCCAAAAGTAGATGAGAGTCAAAAGTTTGTTAGTTTGATGCATTATGCATTTCACATTCAAATCGAAGATAGATTATTTCGGCAAAGTGCATATGATTTAACCTTTTGTGAGAGTTCTCGGGAGGCACATCTATAAATGTACTGCTCTACTCCAAAGCGAGGACACTTGGGCCGAGTGATTTTTTACCTAGCCATTACAATACAATGCAAAATGACAAAGCGATAGAGCGTAATCATCAGTATTTCGTTGTATGTATCTATGCTTAAAGTCTAAGCCCGTTTCCTTTCCATTTGTAGTGACAAAGTTTCGAAGAGCCAGAGTTTACTATATATACTATATAAAATACACGCAAAACACAAATTTTTAAGTTAACGATTAAAGAGAGAAACGCTATTAATATATAGATCCAAGAAATATTACTATTACTTATTGTGTAACTAGAGAATTAAATGGGAAAACCGATTATGTATATTTTCACTTTAGCACGTTTATAAATTACAAATGTTCTACAAATTGCAAAAATACCTTTAATGAATAAATGAATATGGAAATAATTTGTATTTCTCTATTTGCCTTTTGACTAAATTGATAGGCGCGAAAAGTGACAAGTAGCTGTGGTATTTTTTAGTCACTTCGTGCGATGCATCGATAGATCAGCTGTTCCAGTATATCGTTTACTGTTCATCTCTAGGTCAACTGTGCGTATTTTAACAAATTTATTTTCCTCCGGTTTTTGTTTAATTACCGATATTTAGCTGTGATAAAACACTTAGCAAAAAGCATTTAAATTATCTGTGCTCTTAGTAAATACAATTGGTCATTGCTAGCAGGCCCTGCAGCTTGTCAAACGTAAACATTCTTATGTAATTGTTCAGGGCTAGGTTAAACATATGATTTTTTGCCCGGAGGATACTGATTTTCCCTGAATTTTCCAGTGCAGCAATGGGCGGACATCACGGCGAACCCTACACGGTGCCCCACGCATCGACCTACAAGGTGGAGAACGTGCCCCAACTCGTGGAGGTGAAAGAGGCTCTGGCTCGCCAGGGACTAAAGGATCCATGGTTGAGGTGAGTTCTCAAATCGGGTTTAATCTGCACCGCCGATCTAACTGGTTGTGTTTCTCCAGGAACGAGGCTTGGCGCTATGAGCCTAAGGCCTTCGGTACCCATAAATCCCGGCTGAACACCTTCCTCTTCCGCGGACTCGGCGTGGGATTCTGCGCTTTCCTGGCCACCGTCGCCGTGGAGTACGCACTGGGCATTGGCAAGGGCCAGGGCGGCCATGGACATGGCCACGGCCATGAGGAACACGGAGATAAGGGCCACCATTAGATATACTAAATAAACCCATCGCGCTATTGCTCCAAATCACTTTATTCACAATACATGTACGTGTAGGTGTTTTCACTTAAGCTAAAGTAGTCCTCCGATCAGTTAATGCGCGGCTTGAGCTCGTCGTAGCACGAGCGCAGGAAGATTTGGGGCTTCTTGGCCGGATTGAAGTACTCGTGGCCCTTCGACCAGTCGTAGCCCACGGCGTACGCAAAGATCTGGCCGTTGGCGTTAAATCCGCATTTGGTAATGGACTGATCCATGGTCTCGCTGGACTTCAGCTTGGTCCGGGCATCTTTGTCCCAGAAACTGAAGGTGCCATCTGAACCGACGGTGACCAGGGTGCCGTGCACAGGATGGAATGCGATGTCATTCACTGCATAAATGTCTTGGAAGCCCGTGGTGCCCGTGGAGCGGTGGCACTTGAAGGTGAAGTTATCTTTGGGATTCGCCGGATTCACATACTGGATGGCCACGCGACCCTCAATGCTGCCCAGCGCACAGCCCGTGGGCTCCTTCTTCTTGTCCCTAAAAATGGAAATGGCGCGGTGCTGGTACTTCAGCGGACTCTCCTGCCGCTTGTATTCCGTGGGGCTGTTTTGCAGGGAATATATGATGAGTCCTCTGTTGGCTGTGCCCACCACGGCCATCGGATACTCCACATCGGCGCAGTAGCACCTCTCAGGTAGATTGATGGTCATCATGGGATTGGGCGAACGTGTGTCCCAGAACTAAACGGAAAACAGTTGTGACAAGGTTCATCCCATTTGTTTGGCTTACCTTTAGGGTCTTGTCCCAGGATCCGGTCATCAGGCAGGTGTATGTGGGTCCCTTGACCATGTGGCACGTCTTCACGGGACCATCGTGTGCCGCCACTTGCATCACCTGGTCGGACGCCAAGTCCCAGAGCTTCACCTGCTTGTCGCAGGACGCAACGAACACCTTGCTGCCGTCGTCCGACCAGCAAACGTCCAGCACAGGTCCGCCCATGGTCTTCATCGATTTGGGCACGGTGGCCCCGTTTTGCTCCACTTCCCAGCAGCGAACTGTGCTGTCCCAGCTGCCGGCCACCAGGAAGTTCTTCTGCACCGTACTGGGGCTGAACTCCAGCGCCGAGACGGAGTCGTCCGGCGGCGAGGCCACCTCGAAGTCATTCATCCGGTTTGTCGATTGTGTGGCGCCAAACATTATCTTCTGCTTTAGATGCCGCAAAATGTTTGCCTTTGTATTCTTTCGCCAGAGAAGAGCGCAAAGCAGTGTCACCACACCATGGGCAGTAGCCGCGTTGGTCGGTGCGATAGCACCGTGCATGCTCTATCGATATGTATCGGTACCGCCGCTTAATCGGCGGCAAATAATTCAAAAATGCATCAAAGCTTACATCAATGTTAATATTTAAATTATGTTACTTAACCCCTTAACTTTGGAATTTGTAGTCCTACAAGTATGCTAGATATAACATAATATGTGGCGGTTAAAAATACAATATTTGCGATCTTGCTTGCGTCCCTCCATCCAGAGAACGTTTTCTTAAAGAATTTTATATTAAATTTTGCTTAATAATGTGTAAATCCCTTCTTTTCGTCCTCCGATCTAAAAATATGTTTAGTTTTACCTCTTGGATAGTGTACTTTAGTAAACGACCTTGAATTGTTGTTGTTAATTATTTTCTGAATGCAATGACAATTATCAGGAGTAATAAATTATAATAATCTTAATTGCACCCTTTTAATTTCGAGTTCCCCGCAGATTAAAAAGTTGATTGCACCCTGAATTCGCATCTCTCGAAATTCTTACCGGCCATTCGAGCAAGCAGTGAATGTGACTGCAAAGGCGGCACTCGTAATTCGGTAATGAATTGTTGCCTTGTAAGCCAATGTCAACAGTCAATTCGAAAAAACCCCCGGGAATTGATATTCGGCACCTATAGGAAAGCGAAATGTATTTAATTAATCACTACCTTACCTTAGCGTCGGGTGCTTTTTCCGCTGACAATGAAAATGGGTCAATTTCTGTTGCATCAGCATCACGGTGATTACGAGGCGGTTCTTAGAAGTGGTGAATGGTACGACTTGACCGCAGATAGTGGAGTGCTCATTATGCTGGAGCAACCACTTGTTGTATGGAACTTACTCATTGTCTGTGTAGTTTACCAAGCTCCAAAGAAAATGTGAGCTACGTTGCCTTTAGGGGATTTTTTGTCCTTTTAGCAAGAAATGGAAAGAAAAGCGCACCAAAAATATCTGTATAGACAAATACTTTTATTTTTTAATCAGATTATTCATTCGCGGAATGAAGTTTAAGCTTTGTTCACACTGCGCTTTCTTACGACTATACATATAGATATATTTCCCTAATAAGTGGGTGGATATTTAGACTAGCGACGTGGCGTTTAATACTTGACATTGCTGAATGTTTTGTGATGTAAATATTTGTAGCAGTCGGAAGACACATTAAGGCTAAATGGTTTTGCAGTCATTAGGAGGAACCTTTAAGTTCGGCGGCAAGAGTTTCGGTATATTAATCTTTGGCCTAAGATGACTTAGAGAGCTCCCGATTCTCAAATGCTCACGTTGATGGCATTCTTGATCACAATGTTCCCAGCTTCGTGCTGTATCGTGATATTGCTGTCGATTCCTATGCCACCGGACTTGTTTTGGCCAGCTTCCGTTGGCTTGGTGGTTTTCGAGCGAGTGCTGGACTTTTTCCTGGCATCGCCGCTGAGATCCAGGGACTTGACCACCTTGAGCAGTCCATTGCAGCCCGTGTAGTCGACCACTTGCTGCGTGGAACCGCTGCCCAGGTAGATCCGCCCATCATTACCCGTGTACTTCAGGGATCCGCTATTGATCTGGATCTTGAGTTTGGTGCTATTGCCGATTATCTGCAGTCTCCCGGAGTTGTTCACAATCCGTATCCGGTTGCCATTGCCGATGATCCTCAGATCGCGGGAGTTGTTCTCGATGCGGTACTCCTTGCAGTTGCCCACCAGGTCCCTGCTGGCGTAGATGGTCGCTTCCGGCGGCGTGGTACATCTCTTGCCCTTATTGGGGGATTTACCCTGCGCTTGCTCTTTCTGGCAAGTGGAGCACTCGTCATCATCATACGAATCGCTCGCCGAATCGGTTTCTACTACACGAACGCCCATTTTTGGTGTGAATTACCGCCGGTTTCGTTTCTTTCCGCTGCTAATCACTCGTAAAAATCACCGTCCAGTCCGTCGGTTAGCTCATTCTCCAGTTCTTTGTCCAAACGACTATCACTGTCGGTATCGCTATCTCTATCTCTATCTCTTGGTCCGTTTTCTCTGTCGCTGGGGGAACACTCCGAACGATGAGCAATCCGTGGGATGTCAGCGTGGCTGGCTAAGGTCAAATATATCCAAAAGTGTGTGTGAATACTGGGGGATCGTTTGCTTCCGCCAGGGGAACTCCCTCAGTTTTTTGGAGCTTTTATTGTGAATTGAGTTTGGCGATTTGTGGTATCGCTTTCGCCGTGTTTACCGCACACTGGCACTTTGGCTATTGAACGCTAATGCTGCTCGGGAACCGCTTTTATATCCGCCGGAGAGTCTTGCTAGCGCCGGGGCTTTTTTATTTTGCCCGAGGGCCGGCACGAAAATCACTTCGTAGGCATGAGAGTCGCGGCTTTTAAGCCACTTCGCCAACTGGGCAGACCTTTGATAGGGTCGCCGAATTTATTTGGCATGAATAATGCCCACCTGTTGGTGCCCTCGCCATGGGCTCGTCCATCTACTTACACAGCAAGATAAATTTTGACAAAGTTTAAATAATTATTTACATAGCAGCACTGAGCTATTATATATATTCTCCTAAAATGATATCCCAAACTAGTCTCTTATAGTAATGAGTGCCATTTGGGTCTCTACAAACCACATAGGAATTTACGTATTCACGCATTGTAACTGTTACTGTGTAGGCTGTTATCAGCTTATTGGGTGTAGCACAACTTTTAAGGGGATTTTTGTTAACTTCTCTTATCATTTTTAAGGCCCCTGATATAGTGGCGGATTTCCATTTTGGGGGGTCGTAAACGCGGAGTCCAAAACCATCCCAAAGCAAAGGGGTAATAGCCGACGATAAGATGATAAAGTTTTGCGCACTAGAAATTGATAAATATTAAGCCGGTTGTCAAGGGAGATCTGTGAAACGGAGGCAATCATTTCCTAGACGCTTCGCGAGCCAGTTTGTTTACAATCGAAAAAATCTCACCCGTAATTTGCACAACCGCCTGCATTGGCATTCGATTTGCCGCACATATGTACATATATTTTTACTTATAGTTCCCGAAAGCATCCGATTCGAGTCGTCTCTTCTCGATCTTGGCATCATCTGCGATCGTTTCAAGCTGAGCTCCCAGTTCAAGTGGCCAGCTCAGTCGATCGGGAGGTCTGTAGGAGGCAGCACCTCGATGTGCCAAGCATATGTATCTAGATCGCCAGTTGGATCAACACGCGATAATCCAAACAGTTGGCCCAATGTTTACTCGTGCGGGGAAAGCACCGAAGCTATAGGGCAATAAAAGTGAAGGGGTGTACTACCGAGAGTTTTTATTTTCAAGGTGCATTCACTGTTGACAAATCAATTATCTATTGCGGAAAATTATAAAATGATTTATTTGCCAGCGCTCGCCATTTTGGGGGCAGTAAACGGGGACTTTTCTGCAGCTATCTCAAGTGTGCTCGTTCGTCAAGCAAAATCAAGTTCAGGAAAAGCAATAATAACATGAAGTCTTTTTAGGTACGAAGGCGTTATAACGTCAAATCGTGTGTATTATCAGATATGCCACGGCACATTTACATCACCCACCAGTGGAGAAATGGTGCGAGCCCAGAAAAACCCCCTGTATCATAACACATAACCCATCAAAACTAACACCACCTGCAGATACTATCTAGCACGCGTCTAATACCGCTACTAAAGCCCCGCCGACGAAAAAATCACCGATGCCAGATGTTTTATCTCGTGTTTAGATCCGATGAAGGTGTTCCTTTGTTGTTTTTCCTGTTCTGGAACGAAATAAGTGAACTTTATGTACGTACACGTTCTGACAGATAATTTAGCACTTTTAATGGGGCATTAACATTCACGATGTTTTATAAACAAGCTTTCACTGAAATCATTTCAAAGCTGTAATTATAACAATGCTTTATTTATTTATTGCTTACAAAATTTGTTTAGAACACAATATGACCTGTTCAGTATTCCTGTTATCTGAAAGACATAAATAAAGTATACATCTATTTTAAAGCATAACTGAGCGCAATCTTAGGGTCCACTCTAACATAACATACATTACTAACCATTCACAGTTGGTTATAAGCAAAAAAGGTCATCTCTATTTGAAAGCTATAAGTGTGAGCTTTTCATGTGTTTAATTTCATAGGTACAAAAATTACAACGGCTCTCAATACGACATAGTACTTCAATATAAATAGTTCAATCACATTCGCCAACCGGAAATAAAAACATGAATAATAACTCGAAAGTTTTGACCATTGGAACTGAGAGCGCTGATCTTGTAAAAGGATCAGAGGATCCTAAAATTCCTAAAGAGTTGTCTGTGTCGCATTTAGAAAAGCACTTACAGAAAATTCTCCTTAATGGCGCAAAACCATTGACAAATGTTTGTGATGAAGGATCAGTCGGAAGATTTTCGGCGAAGGAAAGTAAGAAAAACAGATTCTACTACGAGTTTGGACCGGGTGACAAGATAAATGGTTGGATGATTAGCGGTCCCACTTTTGATGCCAAAGATATTCTAAGACGACTAAAGAATGTCATCAGCAAGGAGCACTGGATATCTGATAATGTGGCTAAGTATCCAAAGGATTCAAGAGACTTTATAATCCGAACTGCATTCAACGCTTTGGACGAGGAAAGCTCAGATATTTACTCGTATTTGTGCTACCTAAATGAAAATTCTAAGAGGAGGTGAACTTGGAAACATAAACAGATATAATTTGCCATTCACCCTTCCCTATAAACAAAACAAGAACCATCACTAATTCAGAGCTTTTGCCTGAACTTTCCCACGAAATGATTTCATTAGAAAATAAATAAAAGAACTGTTCTCAATGCAAACGGACAGCAATAAGACTGAACCAGGTGAACTGAAAGAGTTTCATGCCAAGATATATTTCACTTACTAAGTATCTTTCAGAACCTAAAATGACGTCCACAAGCAGCGTTTTAAATATTGGAAGTGACAGCGAAGAATTAATTACAAATTGCCGAAGACAAGCAATCCAAAGGCATATTTTGAGCTCGAGTTTGAGAACCACATGCGGAAATTACTGCTCAACGGCGAAAAACCCAAGGAGCTGGATGAAAACTCCATCGAAAGATTTGCAGCCACTCAGATAATGAGAAATGGCAAGCAGTATTACGAGTTCGTTCCTGACGGATTCAAAACTGGAGTAATCATAAGTGGGGGTTCGTTTCTACCCAAGGACATGGTCTTCCGCGTGAAAAAGAAAATCGGCAAGGAACACTGGGTTAACGAAAATGTAATTCAGTACAAAAAGAATTCAATGTGTCACATACAGGGAATTGTTTCTGACTGCTTACAGGAAGAGTGCAATGATATCTATCAATATTTGTCTTACCTAACAGAAAATAACAAAAACTAAAATAAACATATAGTTTTAAAGGTATCCGTAACATATTCTAGTTAGTTTTAAGTACTGGAAGTGAGACCGCAGATGTATCACCTTTAAATAGAAGAAAATATACCCAAGGTTCACTCTAATTTGCAAATATTAGTTATTTTTTATCTGCCACAGGCAGATTTAAGGAATAAAGATGACTAATGCCCAAGCTTTTGATATTTCAACAAGCATGTATCGGCTTATTTGAATTTCAGTAACCGCAACGACTTGGAGAAAGAAAGTGAAAGGAAAATTAAAAGGATATCGAAAAAGACTACCTCAAAGTCCGAAAAACGTACGAGAACAGAAAGGAAAGCTAACAGTGTACACACTTTGTGTCCTAGGCCAAAAATATTTAATTATACTAAGTTCCTCAGCGCAGCGAATAGCTAAATACTTTTCTTTTCACATTCTTCTTACTATAAATGAAACATCTTGTTTATTCGATTTAAAATATTGAAATGTATGAAATATAACTATATACATCAGAAGGTCCACTCTAATCCAAAAACATATGACTGCCATTCTCTGGGAACTCAATATAAATCAAGCTCACCACTAATTCTGTGCTTTGCTTGAGAACTTTTGTGTTGTGAAATACCAATGTATTTCGATACTCTACTAAACAACGCATCTAAATATTTAACGAGTGGCTTATGGCCATCACAATTCAGTATTGGCATAGCCATTAAAAGGGAGACCTTAAAGAATTCACAATATTATAACCATGGAAGCTGAAGCTCACGAAAGTAGTGCATCCGTGTCTGCAAGCAAAAATAATTCTGCGGAGATTCCAGTGCTCAATATATCCGGAAGGGTCACGCCAGCATGGAACACACCTCGCATCAGAGGGAAAAAGAAGGCCCCGGTAGTTCTGGACGCACCTAAAGTGAATCCGCACACATTTCCCGTGATATTAAGCAGGATTCTACTGAAGACCGATGTTCCACCTGCAGCTCCACCTAAGTTTAATCCAGCCGACGGCGCGCAGTACCTTTGCTTTCTGTGCCTCGAGAAGCCAGAGAGTCGTAAGCGCGTCTACCACATGTTCATAACGACTGAAAAGGAACTGGGAAGGAACTACGACCACACCAGGAAACTCTACGAGAATCGCAAGGAGTTTGTATATACCAATAACATATCCGTGGAAACAGTCTGCGCACGGGCACTGTACCGCCGAGTTCAAAAGAAGTTCACTGATGTGCAGTGGAACAAGCTGGGAAACGTTTTTGAGACTGATATGATCGGACGCACTGATGTTTGGGGTATTTCCCAACGAGTTTATGCTATGCGTATCGAGGAGCATGAAAGACTATTCAATTACATCAAGTTTCTGAACTCAACGAGGAGCTAATGAACATATTTCGGGTTTAAGCTTAAATCAGTACCAATTGTGATATCTTGTGCTTTTTAATATATTAAATCTCTTACTTGCACACTTTAAGTATGGCGGATTGTTTGATTACAGTAACTTTCTGTAGCTTATCTTAAATTGTGTGAACCCGTAATGACTCAAAAGCTGCTCCAAAATGTATCCGTTGGCGGCGAAAAACACAGCGCCTTGCACTCCAATCCAGTAGAAGGTGTTCCATGTGTGGAACTCCAGCAAATAGGCCGGCAGCAACCACAGAGCCTGGGCAAGCAGCCAGAGGAACAGGAGACTGAAGCACCTTCTCCACGACAGCATCTTGAAGTTGTTCAAACAGAGCGGAAGAATGGCCAAGTACCAAATGAAGTACTGAGAGGTTACCACCGAGTTGTAGGTGACGATGACAAAGGCCACGGCAAAGATGCAGAATGGCAGCGTCTGGCGGAACTGACCGAAGCTCAGGCTTAAGTAGAGTATGAGCAGGAACTGCGGGGCCAGCACTAGAGTCTTCAGGATCGCAGACGGTTCCGCCACACTCGACGCACTGCCCAGGTACTGTAGAAGGAACTGCAGCGAGAAGTTGTGTCGCGGGTCCTTGCGTACAAAGTGGTACAGGTAGGCCTCGTATATGTACTCCCAACCGTACATTGAGTAGAAAGTCCAAGTGAAGGTCACTAGGCTAATCAATGTTCCACTTATCAGGCACAATTGTTGCTTGTTGGGTCGCAGAATTTGGCACAGGAAGTCGAGGGGAGTTTGTGTCAGCCGCGTTGATAGCGATAAATAGTAGGCCAAACTGAACAGCAACGGATACAGACGGAGATGAATCACTAGTCCGTGAGCCAGGCCCGCTCCGAATATAAGCCAGTAACTCCTGGCGACGTTGTGCTCCGATTTTAACAGCAGGTATATAGTTAGTATCACGAAGAAGCTCGAGAAGCAGTCGCCGCTTCCACGGGTGGATATTACAGCCGTCAGTGGATTGTAAAGCCAAAAGCAAGCCGAGGCACGTGCTAAGTTCTCGGGATGACTTCGCTCATCCAAAGCATCCAGCGATTGGTCCGACTCCCGTGGCCTGTTGAACTTGCTGAGCAGGTGTTGTACGGTCTTCTGGTACTGACTCTTGATTTCCATGTGCACCAGGCGGTAAATGAGTGTGGCGATGAGCAGATCGAATGTGGCATACAGTAGCTTACCCCACGCTGGGTGAAGAAGGATGTTGAAGGTCTGCAGGTATGCCATGATTGGGCTATATCGGTAAGTGTGCCTGGCGAAGGGCGTGTCCCCAGCCAGAACTTGACGGGCTCCATCCGTCACAACCTTGTAGTCTATATCCGTGTAGGGCACCGCGGACTGACTATCGTGTATTTGTCCGTAGCAGATTAAAGCTATTCGCAGCAGAGCCGATATTAGGAGATGGGTCCGAATGCTAGTGTAAAGGATGCGGCGACCCAGTCGCTGCCATCCATTGGACGCAGCCTTTGTTTGAGTCATTGTGATTATTGTTTACGTTTGTCTAGAGCTTAGTTTTCATTTCCAAAGCGGTTTTGCGGATGCAGCTAAGAAACTCCTTGAACTCGGTGTCGCAGATTTTGTGCTGCACGTTTAGATCCCGCGACACGCAAACCGCATACGCAGTCGCTTTGTCCGCGCACTTGCTCAACAGAACTGGATAGTTGCGGATCCTTTGGTTGGCTTTGCGCACCGATTCCATGCCTCAGCTCAGCGCTTGTGAGGCGGCACTTTGATTTCCGGCGGCGGCAGAGGATCGGCAATAAAGCAGTCGTACAGGGGCTTGGAGAAAAAGATCAGCAATGAACCTGTGATGAAGGAGATCTGGAACAGGCGTGGGTTCCGCTGAATCCACGAGCGTTTGGGAAGCACAGCGGTGCGCCTGCGCTGATTTGCCTGCTGCTGCTCCTTTTTGTCTAGCAAGTCTTGAATTTCCTTCGGAGGCTTATACTGCGGCATGGACATTATTTGTTCCTGCCAAATAAGTTGGTAATAGAGTACATATATGGAATTGAATAGTTGGGTAGAACTTACGACTTGCCGGTTGGTTTCTTTTCCTTGGATGCTTCTGGTAGATACGTCTTCTCCAGATCGATTCCACTGCAGCAAAGCGATTCCTTATGCCACTTCAGACAGCACTGGCGCATTGCCTCAAGGACATCCAAGCACTTGTCCTCCTGGTAGTGATTCTCTGTAACCGAGTGCAAGTCAGCTTACATAACCATGGAAATTAAGTCACCGGCGGTGCTTACTGTTCAGACAGGCTTGAATGCGGCAGGCGTTGGCTTTGCAGGGATCCTTGCGCGTATCAGACATGTAATCCTGCCCTAAATTCCTATGACTTTAAATTGCTCCTGCAATATGTGAAAAATACTTGACAATTGTGCTGCTGCTTCCTCTTGCCGGTTCTGGACATTCACAGTGCACAAGCAAGGCTGCCAGACTGCGCGACGGTCAGCTGTGTAGAGGGTCTGTAAGCTTAATATATAAAAGCGAAATAAAAAACAATTAAATAAATGACAACAAATAGAATCAACATCACGTCTAATTTAAAGAAATTTGTTACTCTTTCAAAATTCGATTTTTTACCTGCAGATTCCCTGTGAATACCCCGCCTGCTGCGAGAGCAACTGCCATTCACCCATCGACGCCGACAGTTGGGCACCAAGGAACTGTTCTTGTGTGAAAAACACACACACATTTGTTTTATTGCGCTAGGACTCTTGACTATTACTTCACAAATCGAAAAATGCCATCGAAAAAGAAAAAATACAACGCACGTTTTCCGGCGGTAAGTGGAATCCCGCGTTTGGCGGCAGGAAACCCACCGCTATTTGGCGGCCATGAACGCCGAAGATGGGTTATCAGTTTTCGTGCATGTGTACATACATATGTACACACACGCCTCGCATAATCAAAGGCTCAAAAAAAAAAAAAAAAATAATAATAATAGAAGAACCAACCCGGTGCGAGATTATAATGTTTCCAAACCAATACTATTTACTCCATGCAGGGGCGCATTAAGAAGATCATGCAGAGCGACGAGGAAATCGGGAAGGTGGCCCAGGCGGTGCCCGTTATCATCTCGCGCACGCTGGAGCTCTTCGTAGAATCGCTGCTGACCAAGACGCTGCGCATTACGAATGCGCGCAACGCCAAGACGCTATCGCCATCGCACATGAGGCAGTGCATCGTGTCCGAGAAGCGCTTTGACTTCCTCAAGGAGCTGGTCCAGAACATACCCGACATTAGTGTGGCCGAGGAGGCCGCCTACAACGAGGACGATATGTTACGCAGCTCGCCGGAGGATCAGTATCCAGACTCAGACACGCCATATGATCTTAGCCTGCCATCGACGTCAATGCGCTCGCAAGCGAACGGAACAGCTGCGTACATGCGCTCCATGAGTCTGAACAACGGAGCCGGATCAGGCGGAGGAGCCGCCGCCAAGCGGCCGTTTCAGTCGCAGCACTCAACCCATCAAACTCCCACCACCAGCACCACCCTGCCCGCCAAGCTGGCTCGCTCTGAATCCACGCCGGCCTACACGCCTCGCGGCAGGCCGCCCAATCACCTCAAGAAACAGTCGGTGCAGCTCGACACTGCCATACCTGCCCCGATCTGCAACTACGAACTCAGCAAACCCATCGTCAAGATCGACTACAGCCACATGCAGATGCAGATGCCAACGGCGAACCTGTGCACACCGGACGCTTCTGATTCTGGGTCGGGATCGGGAGCCGGAACTGGGGCTTTTAACTTCGACATAGCTGCTCCGGTGATCAATATCGATCTGACGAATATCGTGGCCGCTGGAGCAGCTGGCAGTCGTGTGCCCCCCACCTCTATTGGTTTCCCAGCGGCCACGCCGGGGGATAACAACAATGTGAACCAAATGGCTGGAAAGAGCAGCGCTCCCATCATTCCAAAGGCCACCGCGGCATCAGCGACCCCCACTGAAACCGTTTTCGAATTAGACGAAGACTATGACAATATTTGATTAGGATCTATGTGAATGCGCTTTTAAATTATTGATACATTAATATGTACTCTAGGTCTAAGAAATCACAATAACATTTTTTTGCAAAATAAAGACCATGCTGGATTTTAAGCTGACGCAATGTAAAGTAATTTAAATATAGACAGAAAATTGCTACATTCTAGCAGATAATTGCCATATATTCTGTATAATTTAGATACGATAAACGCGGTAGTGTGCTACTAAATCAGTTTATCTCTGAATTTGATGTACTAAACAAGGCTAACAATTATTGAAAATGTTTGCATTTATAGAGGGCATACAAAAGCCGCCTCTTGGCGACCGTAAGTCATACATGCCCATCCCAGAGGCCCAGTTAGTCGACGATGTCGCGAGCTACATCGCCAAACCAGAGTTCTTTTCGACTGTCCAAGCGGCATGGAAGCTGCAGCGCTGTTTCTATGTGCAATACAGCGAACTGGCTGCCAAGTTGGAGACTGACCTCACAGCAGTGCTATCCCGCTTGGAAGCTGCCAAGAATAATTTGGAACTGGTGAGGAAGTTCATGGATAATCCGGGTGAGGAACTTCAGAGCCTCATGCAAATCGCTCAGGGTGTATTCAGATGGGTGACCATACCGCCAGTGGAAAGGGTTACCCTTCAAGTGGGCACATCTCTGCAAATGGAATTTGATCTGCCCGAGGCGGAGGAGTTCATCAAGAAGGACATCACAGGCCTGGTGAAGCAGCGAGTGCAACATGAGCACGATATCGACTATCTACAGGATCAGGTGAACACGGTTGAGATGAACCTAGCCGTTTTATATAAACATGGAGTCGCGAAGTAGAAGCGTATGCCGTTCCTAAAATTTCTGGTATCTCTTAGTTGTTTTTTAAATGTTCATTTCCAACTAGTAAAGTTCTCCCTACATTTTCATTTGGAGTTTCCCACTAACACATTCATTACAATTATATTATTAGTGGCCCGGTAAAGAGGTCAGAGTATCGGGACCACAGGATCCCAGACTGTGCCCTACAAAATGTGACCTTTATTACCGTGTTTCGGTATTTATAAGCCTATACACATCATAATAATTATGACTTAATTTCGCCAGGGAGCACCGCTTAGTCATTGTGTAATCCTCGGTCACAGCCAATTACAATTGAATGCCTTTCAATCCCCTTCCGTCCAGCTGTTCTCCTCCAGCCTTTCGTGAATTCGCACACGCAATCTGCCAGCCACACAATTGATATTAATTTGTGCCCGATGTGGGTCAAGCCATGATGTAGACTCTACACCCTCTCCCAAGGATACCAAATTATATGGCAAAAGGACAAAACTGGCGAGCAGATGAGCCACATATCGCGTGGGAAAATCTTATTGCAACCGAATACAATTACCAAAACCGCTCCCACTGAGCAAAGGTGCAGTTTTGAATTATATGCATTTTCATCCATGGGCTTGGCACACTAGATTAGGGTCAGCTATACTGCCGAATTATGATGAGCCAAGCCCAGGTCGAGATTGGATTGGTGCGCTCTCTTAGCGGGATCAAGTGAATCCCCTGAAGAAATTCAGCTGGCCTAATCGAAGCCCGCCACCCAAATTGGGGATTCAGATCTGCACACCTGCATTCGTGGACTCCACGCTGTCCACCTGTCTTGAGTCATGGCGAAAAAAGAGGTTGGAAACAATAAAAAAAACAACTTGCGGCGCGCCGCCAGTGCCAAGTTTTCATGTCCAAGGCGTATTTATGTCAACCGGAAGTAGGTTTACTGACCCACGTATACCCGTGTGGATGGCCAAGCCGTGGACTTCGGCTTTCTTCGTTGCTTTCTTCACCTAAACCCGACTGGTCAGTTGCCGTGGAGCCACACGGCGCAGGACGATGTATAAGAAGGTATTTGCCCACGGCGGATTAGTTTTTCTACGAACGGCGAGTGCAGTGCATCGGATCGATGCAAATGCGCGTTGTATTTTTTGGGTATTCAGTTTTTCCAGTTTTCAAAGCCTCTTAGTTTTTTTTTCTCTTTTGACAAAAACTCTACAAGTAACGCTATATTCAACATTAAATTAAGCAACTGACGAGTGTGCCTAAAATCGGAAAGAAATCATCGCAAACATTTCGCAGTCCGTTCAAATTCCGTTGTGTAGTGAAAAAGCCCAAAACAATTAACTCGTAGATGTCTTTAGGAATTCCCCGAGTTGTGACTCCGTGTGACTCCGCTTTTGCTGGACTTGGGGTGCGAGTTGGACCCCTAAAAGGGGGCGGTTTTTGGGGGCTAACACGACATTAGCCAAGGATTTCTCCGGCACTGCCACTTAAAAGTCCCCCCACTGGTGGTTTTGGTTTGGTTGGTCTGTGTTTGCACACATACCTGTCTTTAGGCGTTATTGCTGCCATTGCCGTTGTTGTCTTGATGTTGCAAGTTGCAACAGTGCCCGGATGGCCGAGGAGTACGTAGCTGCGGGCCAAGTGTTGTTGACTCCTAGCCGCCGCACAAGGCAACACGGAATTTGTTGCGGTTTTGACCCTATTCCAAAGCCAAGGAAAGTGCAGTGTACTCGCCGAGGGTCTTATACTGAGTTGAGTGCAGGAAAAGCGTCCTTTTACCGAAGCCTTTTGCAGTATTTATGGGGAGAGACACCTTTCACAGAGTGATTAAGTGATCCTAATTTTTGGGCGTCGCATAACTAGTGTGTTTTAGAACATTCTTTGAAAACTTGGATACAAATCGGATACTGTTGGTGATAAAATATTTAAATAATGTTAGTTCGAATTCCTATGGTCTCTAAAGCATAAAAACATTTGAAGATGCTTTAATTTTCAATTCAAATTCAATTGGATTGTTTGAACTTATTTTTGAAGACTATAAAAGAAAGTGTTTATTAATAACTATCATTACGTTCAATCAGTTAAGTGGCTGGAAACTGCATTAAAGTGAAATGAGCGAAAGTGCTTCATCGTAATACATGCGTGCATTCAATAGATAAGTGGCATTAAATCCCGAAAAGTATGAGAAACCAGCGGGCTGAGCTCCTCCGTGGCAGGCGGTCCGGCGTAGAAGTACAAAAGTGTTCGAACATCGCGTGCCACAGACATACCAACAGGTGTCACAGCCTGCCAGGGGAAACGGGGGAAGCAATCAAAAGTTGTCTAAGAGGCACAAAGAGCTGAAAGAAAGAAGCACACGCCGCAAAGATGAACACAACGCAACATGCAAACGGCTATTGCAGCCGCCTCGCGAGGCGGCGAAATGCGGAAAACTCGTGGAAAAGTCGCGGCGAATTGGCGCCCCCGGTCGCTTTTCTTTTCGGCTTTTCAGTTCGCCAGTCTCGATATCTCAGCGGGTCTGCGTGTGCAAACTGTTGGGGCACCGTGTGTGTGTGGGGCATTGTGTGCTGTTTTGGATTTGAAGTGTAGGCAATATTTCTCTTGAAGGCCTCCTTTTTGCTCACTTACCGCTGGTCGGCCATCAGTTTAAGTTAGGCAGCGGCCACGTTTCGTCGCGTTTCCATTATTTGTTGCGGCTTGTCGGCAAATACATTCTATTTCGGAATTAGACTAAACTTTAAACCCAAATGTAAATTATATAATGCGCTCCAGAGCCAAAACAACCGCGTCAGTGTGGACGTGGCAGGTATTAAAAGACGTTATTCGAGTGTGACCAAGCGTTAATGAGATGCATGAAAACTGCGTGTAATGCGACAAGCGGTTAAAAAACCAATTCGCAAATAGGAAGCAAAAGCCACCTGGGAGCCGGCCAACTCCCCCAAAACGCGTCATGGCCACAACAAGAAGAAAGGAAAGAAAAAAAAGCCGGCCAAGTCACTTCCTTTGGCCCAAAGTGTGTCACCGAAATTCGAGCGGCGGGCCATAAAATGTAGGTTAAATATTAGGCAGAGGAAAATCAATGCGAACAAAGGCCATTCATTCACACCTTTTGGAACCCCAAAATTTCCATGGGCTACGTCATTCCGCTAAAATATCTGCGTACCCAGCCGCACAGCTCCAATTAAACCATCGCTTACTTCTGGTGATAGTATAGTCTCAGCCCGCTGGCTTCCACATCTCCCAGGTCGTTCGACTTCAAGTGCAGTCACTAATGCGGCAATTTGCAACATGCAACCCCGGTGCAGCCAGCCAAGCCAAAGCCAATCCAATCCCCCTCAGCCATTTAAGGCCTCCTCATCAAGTTATGCTCTCGTTAGCGCCAAGACAAGCGTTTGGTAGTTGGACTCCGATTCGGATTCGCAGCCATATCGCATATCGCATATAGCATATAGCAGGTGCATGGCATACCATACAATTCCGATTTCAAATCGGTTGGTTTGGGGCGGGTTTATCAGCGCCTCACACGCAGCTATTTATAGTTACATATACGAGTATATGGGAGTGAAATGGCATTAGAAAATAAAGCCGTGCAATAATAATTACTCTACTATTTTTGCCACAACCAGTGATGGAAGCGGAGGTATCTGGGCAGTTGTACCTAATTACTTTTTCGTTCAAGAATTGCTGTTGAATTATAATTACTTTATACCATCTATGTATATTTCAAAGAAGATAGGATATTTGAAAAATAGTCATTTGATATGAAGAAGTAAATTACATGGGTATTCTTGAAAATCTGCCCAGGTAAGCAGAGCCAGTACCTTTTCCATCACTGCGAATTGGCAATGAAACCGGCAGTCAGTTCCTCAGTCTCGCTCTCCGGTTTTTGGTCTTCGTTCTCCGGCTTTGGGACTGCTTCCTCCGTGCTCCGTACTCCTCGTTCCGTTCTCCGTTCTCCGGCGGTGAAGGCGTCGCGTGTACGTCTCTCTGACATTGCAAGGGCCGGAAGGTCTCGCTGGTCGTCTGTCTGTGGAATCGAAAGATGTGTGCACATGGGTGTAGTGAGTGATTTTTAAATACATTCTGTTGCTTCGAATAAACAGCTCCTGGCGTCATTGGTTTTGTGGCACTTAAACTGAGCCGAAGGACGAACGCGGAGTGTCCTGCGTGGAATTCGGAATCCACCTGCTGCAACAACGACTGAATTTCGCAAAAAGCGCAGCCACAATGGATAGGAAATCATAGTGAATGCATGAGGGCCGGAGATCGGTTAGCACCCATGTCAAGCCATGCAGCAGACCCTCTCGTACTCATCATCATCGCCATCCCCATCCCCGATGCCCATGCCATCAGCATCAGCCGCACAGCCGCCACCGATCCCGAATCCGACACCGAATCTGAACCTAAGTCCGAATACGAACCCAATACCACGACCCAGATCCACAGGTGGCGAGTCCCGATACCAGCCGGCCATCATCCCGGTTGATTATAGCTATCGCACCCACACCACCCGCTCCATTCTCTCCGCCCAATCGATGGCACCCTCCACGTTCGCCTCCAATCAGAGCTTTGTGCGCCAGCCCTCGGAGTCGGATGCTCAGCCGTATAGTAGCCTCTTTGGGGATCCGGTTCCACCGCCGCTCCAGCCGGATGATTACTTCGGAACAGCTGCCTTTGAGACGTTACGCAATGGGTCTGTGGAACTGCCCAGCTCCGAGGAGGATGCGCTGGTGGCCGCTATGGCGCTGAACGCACTTCTTCCCGCGGCCAGGGAGCGCATCTTTCCAAGTGTGCCGTACACAAGGACCCCCCGAGGATCCCTGCTTCCGTACCTCCAGCCACCCGACATCCAGATCCTGCCCAACTCGAGCGGTGGCTCCAGTTCAGAGCAACTGGGCTCACCTAACTATCGGCTCCTGGCTCCCGATGACATTCTGAACAAGCCCGACGTGTACGATTTGGAGAACGAGGTCGAGGTCGAGTACACCGTAGTCGGTCAGAGGATGGCTTTCGATGATGAGGAAGATGAGCCGGCAAGGACTCCTAGCCAAGCGCCCGCCAAGTTGAGTGTGTCCAGCATCACAACGGACGATCACTGGGGGTGGGTATTCGAGTACCCTAATCTCTAATCCAAACTAATCCTTCATGATCCCTTTTAGATTACTCAGCGACTCCTATTCGGGAAGGGATTGGTTCCGTCCGGCGCCACAGCACTTTCCAGAGTTCACACGTATCCCTCGATTGCGTCCCAGCTCCAAGATGATTATGTCGATGAAGCAGGATGAAGGACCTCTCTCCCCGTTGGCCACCATGATCCAGGACATGAACAGCTCGAGCAGCGGCGGCGAGGAGCGAGTGGCTGCCAACGAAAGTAGGCCAGTTAGCAGGGACGTTGTACTCTCACCGAAGCAATATCTGGAGGAGCAGTTGGGTCTGGAGAGAGGCAGCCAGAGGCAGTCGCTGGAGGACTACAGAATGCCACCGCCACCGGCAGACCCGCCCCCTTTCCGCAGGGCTGACCTGACGGAGCAGGATGACAGCCGGAGTGTGGAACTTGAACATAGCTTAAAGCGGGAAATGTCACCAGTTATCATCAGGGACTCCATACCTATGGGCGGAGATTATAGGTGAGCTTATCCAGCGGAAAGTACCCATGAAGATTATATAAATATTTAAATGTTTCCATACCCTCTAGAGTGGAACAACCCCGTCCACACAAGAAGACTGCTTTCACTATACTTTCCACGGGACAGGCGGCTCCTTCTGCCCCTCGGCCTCCACAACAAGCGCCCACCAGAGGGAGGCACGCCTCCATCCAGTCGACATCGACGACTACCTCATCGCCGGCCGGCAGACCTCAGATCAGTCCTCGCCGGAAATCGATCTTTGGTTCCGAGCCACGACTGCCCGAGCTGCCCTCCTCGCTGGGTTACAACAGTCAACTAGTCCACCAGACCACAGATGACTCGCCACGACCCTCGGTGCAGTTCAATATGAGTGGACGCCACAGTCGCAGCAAACTGGCCATTCCGCAGAAGGGCATCCTCCAGCAGCGGGACTCGCTGACCTCCTCCATCGACACCTTCACGCCACGAGCCCAAATAAGAAGGGGATCCATTGGCAGGGATCCCAACCGCAGCTTGCCCTATGGCCAAAAGATCAAGAGCATGGAAACGCTGCCCCTGATTACCGATCCGCATCGCAGCGCCATTCCCCGCCTGCACTACGGGTCCACCATGGATCTGAGCAGGCCGGAACCCGCTGTCTTTCCGCCCGGGGCACTGCCGCGACCACTGAAGCCAAATCTGAATCCCACGCGAAGGCAACGCGGCCTCCTGAAGATCATTAACAAGGCGGAGCCGCTCGCCCACAGCCCGCCGCGTTCCAACTGGTGCAGTTTGGATGACCTGACCCGGCCCTCCTTTGAGGGCACCCCCAACCAGGCAAGACGTCGCTCCAGCTCCACCTCACCAGAGCGTCGCAGTTCCACGCAAACGGTCTCGGATCGCAGAAGTTCCAACCTGAGCAGCGTTACCGCCACCACCTCGGATTTCAGTTTCCGCCGACCCACGCTCTCCACACTGCCAGCAGCTCAGACACTGTCCAGGATGCGCCGGAAATCCGTACAGGCTCTTAGTCCGAACAGGATACCGAACAGGATTCCAAGCTTCGGACAGCGAAGGCAGTCCATCTATCAGAGGGATCAGGAACCCAAGCCGCTGAGCAGGCACGGAAAGATCGCCAAGCCGAGCACACTGTCCCCCATAATTGGAACTCCAAATAAGGACAGCAGTTCGGCTCAGAGTCCCACCCACAGATCCTCGCTGATGGGCGATGCGGCGGATACCCCATCCGAGGTGTCCACGCGGCGGGACTCGGTCTCTCGCATACCGGTTCGCAAAAGTCCTGACTCGCGCTCCAATTCGCCACTTAAGGACTTCGGAATCACTGCCTCTGGACGAAGCTCGCGGGCAAGCATAACTCGGTCTCCTTCCAGAACCATGAATGCCGGCAGTCGATCTCCTTCCAGATCCATGCAGCCCAGCAGAACCTCCTCGAGGGAGAGTGGAAGACCTGGGGACTCGAGGTCCGCATCCAGGGGACCACCTTCTAGGCCTGGTTCCCGATTGGATCAGATCAGTTCCCGAACGGATCGGTCCAACTCCCGCCTGGAAAGATCCAGCTCACGCGCTGAAAGATCTAGTTCTCGTGCGGAGAAGTCCAGTTCCCGTTTGGATGTGTCCAACTCTCGGGGAAACTCACGTGCAAACTCGCGACTGAGCATCAACTCTTCCTCGCTGCGGTCGTCCAGCATTTCACCCGCTACCATGGCCAGGAACAGGAGTATGCGTGCCACAACACCCAGTCGCCGGAAGTCCATCTCCTTGAGTCCAGCCAGTGCTATGATGGATCGCCGGAAGTCCACATCCTTGAGTCCAGCCAGTGCCCTGATGGGTCGACGTAAATCAATCAGTCCCGATGCCTTTGGCCAGAGCAGAAGAGTTTCCAGTCGGGGTAAGCCCGAGCCTCCAGAGATTCTATCGCGACGGAACTCCCGCTCCCGTATTCCCACCAGATCGACAAAAGCTGCGTCCAAATCCCCGCCGTCCTCGTCCATGAAGAGATCGAAATCGCCGGAGAAAACCAAAGCCATGGGAACCACGCCCAAGAGCAACAGAGTTGGAAAAGGGGCTACCACTAAGGGAAGCCCCAAAGCGAAGCCCAAGATCCCTGCAAGTGCCAAACCAAAGACCAAGACGGAATCCTCGACAAAACCACCAGCGAAGAATGCAAACAAAACTCCTGTAGGTGGTAGACCAGCCACGAATGCAAAAAAGCCCGTCAGCAAGGGGACTTCCACCAAGGATGCAAAAGTGGAGAAGGGAAAGGAGACTGGGAAGACTGTGGCTGCCAAAAACAATGGTAAAGAAACCGAGTCTTCAGTGAAGTCTAGTAAATCCCAGGTCACAAAAACTAAACCACCTGGGGGAACAACAACGGAGCCCAAGAAACCAGTCACCACAAAAACCCATGGAATGACGTTGGAGAAAGGAGCAAATGGATCCGATCCCGTGGCAGGTATTCCTCCGTTGGCTGCCCAGGTGGGCAATGCAGTTCTGCAGGCCGTGGAAGCGGTTCCAGCGGTGACCAGTGAGGTTACCGTACCCTCAACGCCAGGAGCTAAAGGTGCTGGGGGCGCCAATATGTCGAAACTGGTGCGAATGAGCTCCAGGATGAGCCTGCTAAGCAACAAGAGCACCAAGATGCGATCGGATTCTCCTCAAAACCGAAAGGTGGCCACCGTACAGGAACATGCAACAGAAAAAGATGGTGGGTTTTACTATTACTGCCAAGGACCAACATGACTATCATTCATCTATTTTTTCAGAAACAGTAGGAGCCAGCTCGCAAGCGATGTCCAATGATGCCGCTGCTATTCTGGAAAAGTCCCAGAAAACTCTGGAGAATATTCAGAAAACCGTCACCGAGGCCACCGACGAAATCCATAAGACCATCACCGAAAATCTCACCGATCTGAAAAGTCTGGAGAACGACCTGGCCGCAGATCCCTCGCCAACGCCCAGTTCGGGTACCGCGATGGCCAGACCGGGTGAATCCGCCTCCCGAACGGGCACAGCCGATGGCAGCATTGCTCCTCAGAGTTCGGGGGAGCTGCCCAAGTCTCCATTTCCACCCACCCAACCCATCGAAGCCTCTGTCTCGGTTGTGCATCCCAATGAAGCCTCCGCCGAGCGAATAGCCAGCGTACCCGAGGTAGAGTGCGAGAGCTCTGATCTTCCAACGGCGCTGGACGCTTCCGAATCCGAGCTGGGTGGTAATGTAATGCCCACGCCCGAGAGTGGGGCGGACTTCAAAGTGGACGCCAAGCGGCGTTCGCCGGACGGACAGGGAGGATCCACAGCGGGAAGCGGAGGTCCAGCAAAGTGAGTAATCTCAGGATTAGTCTGGAAATCTGGGGAATAGGAAATCTCTAGAGACTTAAAACCTTTTTAGGAGCACCAGAAGTCATGGAATACTTTTGACAGAAGTAGATCCTCAGCTGGAATTTGATTCCAACTTTATTAGTTATGATATCATACCCATTCAAATACAATAAAAACCAATTAGATGGATAGTTTGTCTAGTTAGTTATAAATTAGTACTGATAATGTACTGAACATCAGATATCGTATGCATATTGTATGGCTCATATTATGAGCATGTGTGCCCCGAAAACTTTGAATTTCCAATGTCCACCAACGACCTTTGAGAAACCTCTTTATAAGCAACAAAGTATTATATAGCTTGCTGGAACCCTTGAGATTAGCTTTCGTTCTGTCTTTGTCACCTAAGGACCCGCACAACAAACCACTGCTAAATACCCCATGTTCGCCATGACCATTATGAATATTCATCAGTCAAAGCGCCATCGAATCTGACCATTTCTAGTCAGCCAGAACTTGAATGTTTACCAACATTTTGCCGCGGCCCTAGGGTCACCACATAAAGCACCAGCCAAGGCTCACAGCGCCTGGCCAGCCAATTTACATACAGGAAGCCCCGGAGAGGAGGGCTTCGGGCCAACAACTATGATACATAAAACTTTACAGTGCCCGCCGCCGTGTGGGCAGGAGTCCTAGGAGTTCCGTGCCCTAGACGCTGCTGGCACAGGTCCGTCAAGCCACTCATAAGTGCGTCAATAAATTTCAAGGGGGGAGCGAGCGGCGGTGTGAGTTGGCCAAGACCCTTGCCCCAGGAACCCACCCCACCGGTCGCCAATGGGACCGCCTTTAAGGAAATCCGTTCGTCGGCAGGTCGCGAAGTCCTCCCAATCGCCGTCGCAGTCGGCGAAGGTAACGATGTCCTTCACTGCATTGTTTTCCAGCCATGCGAGGCCCACACAAGAAAACCCTATGGCCGACCAGTTACAGTGGGGATTTGCCCCGATTGAATTCAATTGCCACGATGGACGCTGGTCCACTGGTGGCCAAGCAACACTGTACGGCATAGCGTGCGCGGAAAACAGGGGAAAAGTATTTTCGCAACACGGCTTAAGTTTCTTGCCGCAATAACAAATCAGTTCGGGCCGGACAATCGCGCCAACCGCAGCACTTACTCGCTGGGAAATTCCAGTTCGGAAAGTTGGAAAAGTCCTCGCCAGTCGATGATTTCCCCAGCAATTAATACGAAATAACCATTCAGATAATACGCGATTTCGAAATGCTGAACGGAACGCCGAATAACGCGGTCATATACACGGTGGATCTGGCCCAGGACTCGTTCATCGATGGGGACAAGTACTTCTTTAGGTAATTAGGCAGGAGATCCAATTATAACTTATCGCTGCTAGTCATCTGGCAGCGGGTAAATAAACGCACTGACCTTCTGGCGTCCACATTTGGGCCACACAACTCCGACCAAGAATGTGCGCAAAACTTACTCCATTCATTTCGACTGTCTCGCAGTTTTGTTTGAATTCCGACCGGAGCGGGTCAAATAAATTGCCGACCTCCAAATTGCGTTTGGTCGTTGGCTCGTGCACAACGGAATTACAGGCGTTCTTGTTCAGGAATATATATATATTATATACACGCTAACACCTTCTTGAGCTCCGGGCATGGACCCATATAGGAATTGTGTAAGCGTTCGCCAGCAAAACTCTCGTGACACATTTTCGCATTTTGTTGGTGTTGGCATACTCAAAATCGACCCCAAAACGAAACCCGGATGAAAGTTCAAAAGCCACAGATTTAGCATTACACGCTACTAGCTGCTGCAACTGCATTATTCATAACTTTGAGATACTAGATAAACCTCACGTGCTCCATCCGTAGGCCCACGCTAATGGTAATTCACTTCCGAAGGTGATTATATTTCACGCCAGCGAAGTGCGGAAGTGATTCAGGACTATCCCACAAACTTGAACTTTCCAATCATACAGCACTTCCGGTGCCTGGCACTTGGCCAATTCCCGAAGCCATAAAAGCTTATATCCGGTCGCCTGATAGCCAAGGACAATGGGTGGGCAAATTACTTTACACCAACTCATAATCGGGCTGGGCGTTACGTCTTTCAATTTTGCAGAAGGAAATTGAAGGACTTTGAAATACTTTAAAACGTAACAATCAATTTTATTCAAGAAACCAGCATGTAGAGCTACAGAAGTAAACCATTTTGTTTTATCACTCCTGGTATACCTCAAATATAAAGATATTTTTGTATTCTTTAGGATATTTTCATATGTCTTCAATCTTTGACCTTATTATGTTTCCAGGAGCAGCAGTCAGGAGTTCCTTGAGGACAAGGATAATGCCAAAAAGGGCGGTCTGTGCGGATGCTGCTCCAAGCTGTTCATGCCCTGCCGTCGATCCCGCTGCTCCCGTTGCTGCCGGCGCCGTGAGCGAAACGAATCCGCCGAGGATCAGCCCGTCCTGTGGAGCGGCAACAGCAGTGCCACCACGGCCACCAATGTCCAAGTGATTGACGAGACCAAGCCGAAGCGCAAGAAGGTATCGGATTGGCTGAAGTCCAGCTGCTGCCGGAGCTGTCGCAAGAAACCCGCCACCGAGGGGCAGGAACCAGTTGAGGAGGCAGTGTCCAAGCGGACGAAGCAGAAGCAGGAGACCAACATGAGCACGGGACCAAACACACGAGGCAAATGCGGCCTCTGTCTGAGCAAGGTGTTCTGCTGTCGCTCGGTGAACAGGGTGGATCCCACCACGGGCGACGAGACGGAGATGAAGCAGTGCTGCTTTTGCATACCATGTCGTCGCGGCAGTCGACCCAACAAAAAGGGCAGCACCGTGTCCTGGCGGGATCAGGACCCCGAGCTGGGCATCAAGCCCACCGAGTCCTCGGTGCTGGAAGGCGCTTCGGAGGCAGCCATGTCAGCGGCAACGGATGCTGCGAATGGCCAGGTTAAGGAGTCAGTTTCGTCTGGGTACCAGGAAAAAGTGTAATTGTACTAATTGGGCTACTTGTAGGGGTTGCTGCAAGCGCTTCTGGCTGATGTTGCTGTGCTGCCGCAAAAGGAAGCGCCGCGAGTCCAACGCTCGGAGGCAGAGCATCCGGGCGCCGCCACCCAGTGAGGCAAGTAATCCTTTGGTCGTGTAATCCAACGAGATTTGATTTCTTTTTGCTGTGATCAGGACACGCGGAAAAAGCTGCACGTGGACCTGGTGGAGTATTCATCCAAGATGAAGGGAGCTATACCCGTACTGCCGCTGTATCTGGCCTGGTTCTGTGCCTTCTGCAATGTGGTTTTCCCAGGTCTAGGTGGGTTATTGAAGGGATATAACCAAGTGTGCTTATGCTTTATGATTGCGTTAACCAGGAACCCTGCTCTCCGGACTCTTTTGCCTGTGCGTGGGCATTCCGCGTTTCTCGCAGTTCGACAGTGCTCGCGCAAGGATTGGATCCTTCATCATCAACATTATCGTGGCCGTGTCGCAGTTCTTCTGCGTGCTCTTCTGCTTCGTGGGATGGGGCTGGTCCATTTGGTGGGGCACCATAATGCTAAGATGTGCTAGTAAGCAACCAACACCTTGTTTCAAACTGCAGCTTACAATGTTCCACTTACAGAGAAACTGAGCAAGATCAAAAAGGTGGAGCGTTTGGAGCTCGAGGAGGAGCAACGGCAGGCTCAACTGGCGGAGGCTGGGAAAAACGGCGTCGCCGAGACGGACAAGACATAGTCCTCCAGTCCCGGATACAACTAAGTTGCTTTTTATACCATTGTGTACATACTTTTGTACAAAACATGTAGAATACGCAAACACATGCACTTCCACGTGAACTTCCAGGTTAAGCTAAATGGAACAGAACTTCCCTTGAACATGAGATACATAATTGTATATGTATTAAAATCATTAAACTTCCACTCAAAAGTGAGTTTTATTTATTAGACTTGATTTGATGAGATATGCGAGTATATATGAAAACATTATGATGAGGCAAACTTTTCTGTAGGTTTTAATTCACAATATAAGCCAATCCAAGTTCTCAGCCCCCAAGAACTAAAGTAAAGTACATGAATACGCAGAAAATTTAAACTACTTGTTCGATTGTTAATTAACTTTCGAAATAAACTGGTTTTTAAATTGTAATATTTTATTCGCGTAACGTTAATTTTGAAATGGAATTCAGGAATCCCCTTTGTGCAGTCACACGCAGTATGACCGTATTCGGTTTGTTTGCATCGGCAAATGTGTGTTTCGCAGTGCGGTAACACCGAGTCGTTCTTTATTAAAATAAAAAACACGACGTCAACTTGCGAATTCCACACAAATTAGTCGTTCAAAATGTCGCACCTCGTGAAAATGGAAAACGGACAGAGCCAGACCATCCAGGAGATGCTGGGCTGCATCGAGCGGTAAGCGCTGGACAAATTCACCGTGTCAGAGTTCGCAGCAAGAACATAACCTCGCTTTTTCCGCAGCTACAACCCGGATCATCTGAAAACACTGGAGGCCTATGTGCAGGATCAGGCGAAGAACAACACCTACGATCTGGAGGCCAACCTGGCCGTGCTGAAGCTGTACCAATTCAACCCGCACATGCTGAACATCGACATTACGTACACGATTCTGCTGAAGTCGCTGACCAGCCTGCCGCACACGGATTTCGTGATGGCCAAGTGCCTGCTGCTGCCCCAGCAGATGAAGGACGAGAATGTGCAGACAATCATCGATCTCGCCGACATCCTGGAGCGGGCGGACTTCACCCTCTTCTGGCAGCGGGCCGAGGTGAACCGCAACATGTTCCGCCACATCGCCGGCTTCCACGATTCCATTCGCAAGTTCGTCTCGCATGTGGTGAGTACCACGTTCCAGACAATTCGCAAGGACCTGCTGAAGGAGCTGCTCGGCGGCATCGAGGACTCTACGCTGGAGAGCTGGATTAAGCGCAACGGCTGGAAGCACCAGGGCCAGGGACTGGTCGTCGTGGCCATGCAGGACGACAAGATCAAGACAAAGAACATTACGGAGAAGATCGAGTTCGACAATGTTGGCGGCCTGATGGCTCAGTGCCTGTAGGAACCTCATTCGCGTTCATAGTCCTTGTCTAAATTTCTACGAATAGTAATTAACGGAAAAAAATAAAAGCCTGTCCGTACAGCTAAATTACTTTGTGGTTTATTCTCGATCGGAGCTGCTCGCCAGGCTGCTCCCACTCATATGATCAGACTTCCAGAACTACCGACCTTAAAACGTACACGTACAGAACTAATAAAGCGCTATCCTATTTATGACTGCTTCTTGAACTTCTTCAAAATGGGGAATATCTTGTCGAAGGCGTCGTAGATCTCCTGCCGCACCTTGGCGCCCGTGAGTACCACCTTTCCCGACACGAAGATGAGGAGCACGATGCGGGGTCGCACCATACGATAGATCAAGCCGGGAAATAGCTCCGGTTCGTAGCTGCTGAAGTTGCAATGGGTCAGCACCAGGCCTTCCAAGCGGATGGGGAACTTGACATCGCAGGAGCCGACCATGTTTTGAATCTTAAAGTCAAGGAACTTTGCCTGCGTGGGAGAAAGCGTTAGAGATTCGTTTGAAATGGAGTACAGAAGCGAAGCCTTGTCTTACAGGGAAACCGAGCTTTTGGATGATGCGCGCATACTTCCTCGCTGCCAGTCTGGAGTCGTCCTCACTCTTTGCTCCCGTGCACACCATCTTGCCGGAACTGAAGATCAGGGCGGTGGTCCGGGGCTCTCGGATACGCATAATCACTGCCGCAAATCGTTTAGGATTGTACTCGGCGTTTCTCGCATGCAATGCGATTTTCTTGAGGTCCAGTTTGCAGCACAGATTAACCGTGGACACGATGTTCTGAAGTTGTGGGACAATACCGGGATCAGCAGAACCTGGTGTGGCTGGTGTCATCGGCGTGGAGGGGCCCATCGTCTGGTGGATGTTGCTCAGGGCATCGCCGCCCCCTCCGGCTCCCGAACCGCCCACACTCCGCTCACTCATTGGCATCATGTGGGCCATCATGCTCTGCGGCGTCTGTGGCTGCATCATAGACTGCGGTGTGCTCCCACCGCCGCCGGGCGCCTGACTCTGTAGCTGCTGCTGCTGATAGGAGGTCGATGGCTGGTAGCTCTGCATCTGCTTGTGGGCCAGTGGGAGAGATGGTTCGTGGCCAAAGAGACCGGATCCACCACTGGCGTCCGACTGCTGTTGTTGTTGCTGGTGCTGCACGACGCTGGAACCGGGGGCCGGCATTAACGGATCCGGCTGCGAAACAGCCGGAGGATGGTACACAGGATTGGCCACTATCTGCTGGTCCGCTTCCATCTGGTGGAGCGGCGTTCCGATGCTCGGAATCGAGAAGTTGGGGCTGAGCATTTGGTCCATCTTGCAGATGGTCTGGTGTGGACTCCGGTGAATTATGCGCGACTCAATTTAATACAGCTGATCGGGCTCAAATTTCGGTTTAAATTGTATGCCCACGGAGCGGGAAAATAATATAATAATAATAATGTAATGCAGCCGCTTTCGTCGTTGTACCTGTGGCTCCTTTTGTGCGAATGGCAAAGTCAGCGCTGCATTTTGCCGCAACTATCGATAGCTGGCTGAATGTTACGTTTCTGGTTACGTTTCGCTAACCTCCTCTTTTTATTGGAAACATGAATAAAAATAATTATAATATTCAATTCTAATATATATTTAATAATAATAATTGACCTGATTTTTAAGATAAGTTAGAGCGCAGTGGAACTCAATGCGAATAGCTTTTGCATTCTTCTCATATCGCGTAATAATCACTCTCTTACGTGCTTTACCTATCGATACTGAAAATGGCGCACTTTTCAAAACAACTATAAATAGTTTATATGTTTTTTATTTATTTGCTTAATAGCTAAATAGTTGGTGTATAACGTGAAGCAAAGAAAGGTGAACCAAAAAAATAGCATATAAATAAAGGTGCAGAAACGTGGAAGGAAAAAAACGTTGAAGAAATAAATTCTCGTGGGAGTGAACTAGAAAACGATGTGTCAAATTAATTAATTGGAACTTTTGCAATTGGAGCAGGCAATTAAATGGTTATTAAACTCATAAGCAAAACGAGAACACCACCCATGCTGAAGCCCCAGGGTGAAGAAGCCAAACTCTTGGCAGTTGCAGTTGAAGAATGGGTATAAGTATTTCCATGCTCATCAGTGTAGGAATGTTGGCCGTTTGAGGGTGAGTTTTGGAAGGTGCCTTCCACTTCGCGGACTGTGTAGGGTCCTTCGTTCTGCCCCCGTATGTAAATGCCACTTCCAGGTGTTCCAAACTCATGGGGTCCATTTTGTCCATCATAATTCTGCTGCGCATTTGTCACTGATGGAAAACAGAGAGTTGTACAGATTTCGCGGTTCTAGTGGTTCCCACACGCGACTTACCGGCGAACAACAGAGTGCTCACTATGAAAACAAGTAAGATATACGATCGCATGATGCACTTTCCAGCCACTGAGCTCAATATTAACTGAGAGCGACTCCGTAATTTGAAATCAATTTATACAAGCCGGCAGAGAGACGAGCTTTGGCCAATTAGCATTTGAGCATGGGTGATGTGAGATGTGAGAACGCATGTTGAGCTCTCCTTACACGACAAACATTACAATGTAACAATTTTAAAATAGAACTACCCCATTGGCAATATCTAGCATTTTGCGCATGCTTTTAGCCAGCTAATGAAATTGTTAAATTTAGTTCACTAGCTTGGGAAGAGAAGGCGAGCAGAGAGTGCGATAAATGGGAGCAGGCTCTCAGAGATTTTTGTGCATATATAGACTCCCAGAATCGTTATATAATATGCACTCAAAACAAACGAAAAAAATGCGCAAAAGAGGCGACAGTTCGAAACTACAAAATTCGAGCCCTGAAAACAAAGCTACTAGCACCAAAAACATAGTAGGTTTTCAGAAGAGTGAAATAGTTTGGAATCCAGGACTACCAAATTCGAGTACTGCAGAAGTAAACACTTATTAAAGGCGACATGGAGAAGGTTTGTCAGTTTTTCCGCAACAACTACGTGCTGGCCAACTGCGAGGATGCCATCTACAAGAAGGCGTTCTCCCTAAATCTGTCCCACTACCAAATCGCTGAGGTTCCGGACATTATCGAGAAGTGCGAGACGCTGATGAAGCTCTTCCTCAACCAAAACAAGCTAACAAAGGTGGAAACAAGTGCACAAGATAGCCAATCAAATAATAGACTCGCAATCCATTAACAGATTCCATCCTCCATTGGCAGTTTGACGCGACTGCAAGTCCTCACGTTGGACTACAATAAACTGGATGAATTCCCGCTCTGCATCTGTCGTTTGGTCCAGCTGAAGTTCCTCAACATCAGCTGCAATAGCATTAGTTGCTTGCCGCCAGAAATTGGATACCTCACCCAGCTGGAGACCTTCTGGTGCAATAAAACCGGACTTCTGGAGCTGCCCAATGAAATTCGCAACTGTGAACACCTCGAGACGCTGGGCGTACGGGGAAATCCCTTAAAGAAGTTGCCTGATGCCATTGGGGCTCTATCCTCGCTTCGTTGGCTCACAGCCGAGGGCTGCGAACTCAGCGATGTGCCATTGACCATGGCGCTGCTGGGAAACTTGGTGCATCTGAATCTGAAGGGGAATCGTTTGCGGCGACTACCTAGGGTATTGATGGCTATGCATAAGCTGCGGTTCGTTTTCCTCAACGAAAATTGTATTGACGAGCTGCCGACGAGGTCACAGCTTGAGGAGCTGCGCACTCTTCACATGCTCAACCTGTCCAAGAATCCCATCAGCCTGCACCGTGATCTACAGCTAATCGCTTTGGTCAGGCTCCAAATCAACCATTGTGTTTCTTTTAGTTGAATTTCTTGGAATTTTTCAGCGTCAGACGAACCTTTATGTGGAGCTGCCGTCAGATCCCGCCGCGATATGTGATGGTCTCACCAGTCGAGCTAGCCTCAACACCCAGGAGCAACAGGAGGATCAGGCGCAATGGGCGGGACAGGACATAGACTCCTCCGACTGGGCGAACAGCGTGCGGACCAGCGAATTGGACTCGACGGACGAGAGTTCGCTGGAGAACAACATTGAGGACCTGAGTGTCATGCTGCCGGAAATGTCGCGTTTTATCACCACCTTTTGAAAGCATTGAATGTGTGTCAACAAGGTCTGATATTATGTAGCACACATAAATCTGTGGTTTATTTTCTACAACTGGGTGTTTTGTACATGTACCTCTAACAATCGTAGCGCTTCAAAAATGCACATTGGTTAAGCGGAAGTGTGGGTTAATGGTTGCCAGGTTAACTAGACATCTTCTTCATCAGCTCCTCGTCCTGCATGGACATGGCCGTCAGCTTCTTGCCGATCTTCTCATGAATGTCCAGGTATTTGGCCACACAACGATCGATGCACACCATCTCGCCTTTGCCTGTAGGTTGCGGAAAGCATTGGAATGATAAGTGTGAGATTGTGGTGCAAGTTTCAGGATTTCTGTTTGAATTTCGTAATAAAGTTACAGTGAAGAGTAAGGGCCTAGGCACTTTTCTAAATGATAGTGTGTGGATATTCCCAGGTACAACTGTCTATATAATATGGCTACTCACCCAACTCCGATTCGGAGTAGCGGGGCGGTATGCACTTCTTGTGGCAAGCGTTCGTCATGCGGTTATATAAATCGGACATCATTTCGATCTCCATCTCCTGCATCATCTGCAGCTTGGCCTGGTCGGCGGAGCTGATCTGGGGCAATGCCATCGTGTTGTGGGTTTATTTCTGCTGGGCTCTAGAGACTGGATGCGGGTGCTACCGGTTAGTAGTCGAATCGCCTGTCCGATGCTGCAGTTGAGTCGTAATCCCCTTGGTTTGCTTTCCTCATGCGCTCACGCACTCGCATGCTCTCGTAACGCCGGTTCTCAACGGATCTCTTGGACAGCACAAATGCGTACACGCCACCCACGGTCAGAACAGTCCTGTTTTGAAATTTACCAACACCATGTAGTAGAGTTGACCCTCTGTGTCACCAAAAACAATTTTTCTACAAACCAACAGACAGCAATTCGCCCTGCGTTGCCCAACGACATAGCCTGCTACGAAAAAACGACACACTAACGCGTTTGGATGGAGGGTGTGCGGGATTTTTTATCACTGGCACGTGTGACAGCTGTCACATAGGGGTACTCCTTCCAATGGAAGTGACTGACTGGGAAACTGTGATTTGGGTTGCTTGGAAAACAGAGGAAATCTGCATTGCTGGGTTTATTCCCTCCAACTGCACTTACTTATCACTTAATCAACTGTATTACTTTATTCGTTTACTATTGAGTTTAGTATTATTATCATTTCAACATATAAATTATCAACATACAAGGCGTATCAATATCAGTAATACTTCTATAAAAATCGAACTTATGGGTATTTAAATGAGTTATTACCAATTTAACTTGAAACCTTATCCCAATATTAAAATTATATATTATTCGCCCTATTTTAATTCACATAAGAATTCAAAGTGAACTTTGTAATTTGCCAATTTCTGGTTCTCAACTCCCTCTGGTCACACTAACCGGTTATTTACACAATTATTTCGTAATTTAAAGTCATATTTTATCAATGAATTAAGATAAGAAGCGCGCAGAACTATTCTCAAATGACTTCTCAGATCTACAGCCAGAAGAAGTTCGTGCCCACGCCGCCCGAGAAGGGTTCCTTTCCTCTGGACCACGAGGGTCTCTGCAAGAAACAATTCCTGCTCTACGCCAGTTGTCTCCGCAAGAACGCCCAGGATACGAGCCAGTGCCGCCAGGACGCCCGGAATTATCTGGCCTGCCGCATGGACAACAATCTTATGGAGAAAACCGAGTGGTCCAAATTGGGCTTTCACGACCAGAGCACCAAGAGCGATAAAAAAGCTCCGGAGGTCCAGAAGCAGTAGCCGGCATTGAGAAAGAACCATGAAACCCGAACGTAATGTGATGATAGCGGCCACCGGAAGTGTGGCCACCATTAAGTTAGCCCAGTTAATCCGGGAGCTCTCCGACGAGCGCCTGCCCTTCAAGTTCCACCTGAAAGTACTTATTACCGAATCAGCCAAGCACTTCTTTGAACTGGAGCAAATTCCCGAAAATGGTGCGTTGTCCTAATCTCCGGCCATATAAGGGTAATTTAAAGGATAACGAGCATTATTTTAAATATTGTAGTACCCATTTACCACAATCGCGACGAGTGGATCACCTGGAACAAGCGAGGAGATCCCGTGCTGCATATAGACCTAGGCAAGTGGGCGGATTTGCTGGTGATTGCCCCCCTCAGCGCTAACTCTCTGTCCAAAATGGCCACCGTAAGTTTAAGACCACATTTTGGACACACAGAATATTTTAATGTCTGCGTTTATTACAGGGGATTTGCGATAATATCGTCATGTGTGTGGTGCGGGCATGGGACCTTCAGAAGCCGCTGCTCTTCGCACCTGCGATGAATACTCGTATGTACGACCATCCAATAACTCGAGAGCAGATCGACAAGCTGATAAGTTGGGGCTATAAAGAGATACCCTGCATCTCCAAGACTCTGATGTGCGGGGATACTGGAAACGGTGCCATGGCAGAGGTTCCTACAATTGTGGAAGCGGTGCTATCTGCATTTCAGCCAAGTAACTAGTTAAATTCAAATGTTATACACACAAAGTTTATATCGCAGAATATTTTGTGACAATAGTTAGACAAATAATATGGAATTGGCTATGAACTCTTAGAGATCCACCACCTTCATGTCCTCCAGGGAATTGTTAGCCGATTGACTGATCAGCGCCTTCTCCGAATCCGTGAGGTTGATAAACTTGTGCTTAGACTTCAGCTCTTGCTGTATGGAAGATAGCAAATCTGGCGAACATCGACCCGGCTTCAAACTCTTTTGATCATGCGATTCGGCGGCGCCTGTGACCTCCATCTTGGGCTCCACAATGGTCTCCATCTGTACGGATTGGCGCTTACGGCGCATCCGCTTCGAACCTCTCGTGATGAGCACCACGGCGGGCGATTCAAACGGCAGCGCCTGGATAACTGTCTGCAGAAGTTTCGGCGCCGTCTCTGGTGTTTTGGGATTCCCGATAACCACATCTGCCTGGAGGGCACTGCGTGCTCGCTCTCGCTCCTCTTCCCGCTCCCTGGCTGCATTTTTCCGCATTAGTTGGCGTGCACGCTTCTTGAGAATCGCCTGGGCATTGGGATAGTAAGCAATGACCTCGTTAAGATCCGACTTGGACAGCACGAACAAGTTGGAGTAGCCTTTGGATCGGACATCTGCCGTTCTGCGATCCGCCCCATTGATTCCAAGCAGACTGATCTCCCCGAAAACGGAACCTTCGGTTAAAGTGGCTAGCACTACATCGCTACTGGGACCACCCATCACTTGAACCTGTCCAAGTTTCACGATATACATCTCTCTGCCCACCTCGCCCTTGCGGCAAACGAAATCTCCTGGCAGAAATGTGACTGCCCTTAGTTTTAGAACCAAGTCTCTGAGTAAGGCCTCTTCGCAATCAGCAAAGAGTTGTACCTTGGAGAGCGTTTGGATGTGCACGGAGATGGCGATATCGGTTTTCAAATTAATGGGCAAAGCATCCAATATGTTAGATTCATCTGCACAATATATAATCGAAATAAGTTGTTGCATCTGAAAAGTATTCCATTTCTACGAACCCAACGTGCGCTGCTGTTCCCATGTAAACTGGAACCACATCTTGACCCTTGACTGCACCTCCTGGGAGAGATTGAGGCGTCGCATGTACTCCAGTGTCTCATCCTCCAGCTGGCGATACTCATGCTTGTTCCTAGTGGCTGTCGAGATGATGTCCCTGATCTGACCGATGAGCAGAGCGAATACAAAAACGCCCATTAGCCAGGCCACCGTCATGAAGACGTACTCTCCCTGCCGTTCCGGTTTGGGATTTTTTCCTATCGAAGTGGCCGTCTTGGTGGCAAACGCGAAACACCTTACGTAGGGATGACCCTTGCCGCTGAAGACCCAACGATTCTGTCCCAGTCCCTGGTAGTCACTATAGGCGTAGTAGAGAGCAGCCGTGATGTGGATCATGTAGAGCATGTAGGTTAGGGTTTTGGCCACTCGAACCTATATATTGGAAGTGATATGTTTAGTTACACGCCATGTTTGGGGATACTAGAAATATCTTACGAAATGTGGAGAAGATATGACTCGATCCAAAAGGCGAAACACCTCCCAGAAGCTCTGAATCTTGAAGAACCGGGGAAAACGCAGCCAAACCGCGTGTGTTCCGAGCTTAAAGTATAATAGCTCCAGCGGAAGAAGGGCCAGAAGATCCAACTGGAATTCGAGTTACAAATTTGTAGTTTGCATTTTCAATTTAATTGTGAGTTAGCCCACCTTAAACTGCAGTTTTCGCATGTAGTTCTTCCTGGTGAGGTTCTTGTTTTTCACCCAAAATCCCTCAAAGAGGTACATAACCCGATGCTTGAAGAAGACCACATCCAGTAGGTATATAATGTCAGCACAAAAGTCACAGGCCAGCCAGATATTGGTGTTCTCCTTGGTCTGAAAGGGAAACGAGGCACGCAGCGGGATTACCCAGGCGTTATAAAGGAACGATAGCGACACAACGCATAGCCAGGAGATGTAGATCTTGCCCTGGGGATCTAGGGTACGCTCATCATTATTGGCGCCGCACAAGCTGGAGCAGAGCCACACATTGGACCTGGGAGTGTCCGCTTCGAAGAGTCTGCCGCGATGGGGCGATTGGCCTGCTGGCACCAGACGCACCTTGTGCTGCGGAGAAGGATGCAGACTCTTGGTCGGAGGCGGAGATGGCGAACTGACCGTGCTGCTGGACGAAGGAGTTGGTGGCAGCTCGATCCGCGACTTGACCTTATTTGCCCTGGCCGTAAAGCGTCGAACCAGATGACGGACCTGATCGCGGAGGAACTGCTGACCCTGGGAGTCCAAGCTACCAGCACTGCTAGGCTTGCGGTGATCCACATCCGAGTTCATTTCCGTGTTCGGCTCATCAACAGCCACTATCTCGCTCTCGTTTATCGAGGGTGTCCTTTGGGTTCGTTCGTTTCGATCTTCATTTTGAAGTTCCGGCGATTCGTTGTAACATATCTGCACATCCTGTTCGTCCTCGTCGATGTCAGGTTGGACTTGGACTTGATGCAGTGGTGAGTTCTTCTCCTCCTCCTCCTCCTTGGGCAGAACCACCTGGCCCGTGGCTGCGGCCAGTTCCTCCGCCCGCTGAATGGCAATGGGATCGGGTACGACCTCGGGAACAGCTCCTGGTAGAGGAACCATTTCGAAGCTCTCCTGCTCGAGCACTCTCCTCACACTATCCGGACTTACTAGGGGCTTCTCATGATGCAGTATGTGCTTGACCAGAGCGTGAGTGGCGCCCACATTGTTCTGATGCTCCGTGGAGTCCACACATCCAATTTTCCCATTCCTAAAGTACAATCTGGAGTGGTAGAACCGCGGACTTCCAGGACGATGTCTTCTGGGCGGCGCCTTGTAGGCATTTATTTTATAGGTAACCCTCTTCACCGGACTGGGGCACTTGTTCTCCTTGTTGGAGTACAGCATCTGCTCCTGCTCCTTCTCCCTCTGCATGAGCTCCTCGGTGGCACTGACGAACTGCTCGATCTCCTTCAGATCCTTGGTGATCTCCTCCAGACTGCGCCGCACCTGGGCCTCCTTTTCGCCCGGACTCGAGTAGCGGCGCGTGCTCTCCGGCTGCTGGTTGATAACATTCCGCATGAAGGCATGTCGCTCCAGTGTGTCGCAGAACTTGGGCTCCTTCTGCGACGATGAAGTGGAGGACGAGCTGCTCTGGGAGCCGGATGGAGCGACGGGTGAGGTGGCCATCCGCTTGAGAAGCGGGTGATTCGCCTGCGGCGGCTGGAACTCGTCGTAGGCAAAGTTCTCCAATATATTCGGGGATGACTTTAGCAGCGATGCACTCGCCTCCGGTTCGAGCTTCTCACTTTGGCGATTCACCTGCAAATGAGCAAATGAGCGAACGAGCCGCACGTTCAGGCGATTGAGGGTCGGTTTTAGAAATACACGCAAATAAAAACAAGGCGAACCAGCACGCAAATGCAATAAAAACAACAAAAGCGGGGGACAGTTTGTGTGCCTCGCATGGCAATTGCTCGAGACACCCGCACATCGGCGGCTTGGAGTCGCTGTAACGCCAAAAGCTCATCCACCAAACTATCCAGCTATTATGGAAGCAGAAGGAGTATTAAAACACAGGGTCGTGGACTCTACTTCTCAAGATCCTTGAACGGAAGTCCTGCCTGGGGCCATTCAACTTTGCCTGCTAATCCTATTGAAAGTGAAGGTCACAGTAAAAATATTCCTTGTATTTACTAACAGCAAATGGACAACAAGTTATAAACACAATACATCTTGTGCTCCTGGCTTTTAGGGATCTAACACTGATAAGAAACCAAATTATTCAGCCAGAAGTAATAATTAAAGCATAATTATCTCTGTAAGGATTTCATGATGTTTAAATAACAAGATTTCCTTCTTGCATTTCCTATTTTGAACGTACCATTACATTAGTTTCATTACATTCAATTTCATTAGTATAGGTCCAGAAATATATTATATATACTATACAGGATTGGATATGGCTTACCTTCCGAAAACGTGCCATGCTGGACATGGTGGTGACCGACCTGCCAGCGGACAAGTTCAGTGTCAGCGAAGAGTTCAGGGTCGTTAGCCTGTAATTAAGCAGGGGAAAGAAACGAGTTTAGCGCGGTGCGTGTTGCACACGGCGTATGATTAATGTGCTGGGTGGACACGCGAATCGCAGTGCACTTGACCCTATCGGGTGTTATCTACTCAGCTTATTACTTTTGTCTATTCATACGGTCCACGCACTATTGATTTTTCCAGCTGTTGCAACTTGTAGTGCGCCATTCGTATTTCCACTGCTGGCTTTTCTTTTGGTGCTGATAAGGAAAGTCAACAGGTGGTTGAAAATTGGTGAAAAATTTACCTGGACCACTACAGGTATTTAATTGCCACTAAAGTGTTTGCTTTTATTTAACACTCCTGTGAGTTGTGTCGGTAGCACTACCTCTAAACTTACTTTCACTACTTTTATGGTGAACCTATTTTTCGGCGGAGGACCTCGATCCTAGACAGAAAGTCACCAGCTGTCGATGCAGGGGAAGATAAACTGGTCAGCGAAACGCGGTACGTCTGTTTAGTTAGTCCAAACAATTTTAACGCAGGCGCTCTTTGCTTGTTTCAGCTACAGTGGTGCAAGAGCTATTGAAAGTGATCCAAACTTAAAAGGAGCGAATAATGAAGTGAATATTTTTTAAAACAAAACTGCTCAAATATTTATATCTGTCCTCAAAATTAATATTTAAATAAATTACTTAATACTTTTATAAATGATTACCTTTCAATTAACTTGTACCGCTCAAGTTTGCTGTGAATAAAAACTTATCCAGCTCCCAAACACCAAAGTAAATTCAATTCAAAACCTTGAGTTTTCAGAATTTTTATATATATTTTTTTTTAAATATTCCATTCAGCTCTACATTCACAATTACATATTTGTAATATTGGTTTTTTGTTTTCCTTTTTAAATTACATAATATATATTTAAATATATATTTATGTATACGGTTTAAAATGTATGTATATATATATAACTTTTTGCTCTCGAATCGAGGGACTCAAAATTCAAATAACTTGACGCGATCGAAAGTGGCTAAAGGGGGCGCGGGGAATCCCCCCTTTTGGGGGCAGTGGGCTGTATGTGTTTTTGTGGGGGGGGAGTGTCATACATATAGATACATTTATACGTACAAACCTAGAATATAAAGAACAGATGACTGGAAATAATGTGTGTGTGATCCTTCACATCTTTAACTTAGTCTTTATGGTTTATGCTGTGTGTTGGCATGTGTGTATCTGTGTGTGTGTTCGCATGTTTATGGATTTAGTGCATATTTAAAGATTTAAGGTCTTAATTCGGTTTTTCTTTGTTTTTTTCATATTTTTTTGTTGTTTGGTTTTTAATTAGGTTTTTTTCTTGGTTTTCATTTTTGTGGGTTTTCTTTTTTTGTCACTTAAAAAATTACATTAATAAAATGTATTTTAAAACTTATGCAGAAAAACGTTGCCCATTTCGGTGGCTGCAACCGTCTACTCGCTCTCGTCCTCCTCCTCCTCCTCGGAGGACTCTTTCTTCTTGGCCTTCTTGGCGGGCTTGGCGGCCGCCTTCTTTCGCTTCTTGGGCGCTCCCGAATCGGTGCCGCCATTGGCCTCGTACTCCTTCACCGCCTTGTTGTACTCCTCCTTCATTTTGATGGCCTTCTGCTCCCACTCCTGCGAAAAGGTAGCGATAACACCCCCCCGGAATCAGTAATCGTATTGCCATTTGCATCGGCGTGTTGCCTCTACTTACGGTCTTATCCTTCAATCCGCGCCAGAGCTCTCCGCCCCGCTTGGCGATGTCTGTCACCTTGCTGCCGGGATTATCCTTCTTGATCTGTTCGCGGGTCTCGTTGAGCCACAGCATGTAGGCGGAAAGAGGACGCTTCGGGCGATCTCCACTCATTTTTCTGGTCTAATTCGACTGCTTGCACGGAATATATCTAGGCTGAGCACTTAAGCAGCTGCAAGAGGACAAAGTATTCATTGAAAAATCATAATAAAGACTTGATAAATATATATTTAAAAATCAGTTTAAGTATTTCTTATTTAAAATTCTAATTTAAAATTTCCCTGAGGCAAGCAACAACTGTTCGCAATTGGGCTTAATTTAAATCACAGACAACTGCATATGTTTTCCTTTTGCAATAATTGCATTTTGGGCAGGCATTAATTAAATATGCCGGTCGCGGTGAAACGACCCCTGGCTTTGACCCCGCCCCTTTTTGCCGCCCGTTGCCGGCAACGCAAATGAAATACTTTTGATACATAATCCTTGCGGCTTTATATAACCCCCCACATAATGGCTATTTATGGCAGCAATATTTCCAATTAATTGCGGGTGTCGATTTCTTGTACATATGTACTTAATGGGCCACCACATAAGACTTGCATTTACATATACACAGAGGTCAATGACCACTAGTGAGTGACTCTTTGTTTTTGCACCGGACTTTAAAGAGCCCCAGCGCCTTAGCAAATCAGCTGGGAGATGGGCATGCAAATGAGGCGACAACGATGACGACGACGACGTCGACGACGACACTCTGCCCCCCAAAACAACAGCCATGAGCCATGAGCCATGCACTTGACCCAAATCCAGGAATTCAGCGCAAAATGCACGACAACGAGACATCGACATCGACATCCACATCCACATCCACATCGCAGTCGACATCGCGGGGGCAGGGAAAAGGGGAGCCGACGGAGGAGCATAACAACGTGAATTGGGTTAACAAACGACTCGAAAGCGAAGGAATCTGCGACCTGAGAAGCCGAGTGGGAGGCAGGAGATGGCTGGACGAGTGGCGCATCAATCAGGCAGCCGCCATCGCACATCGCACATTGCAGATTGCACAACACCATCGTTTGGCCAACGGCTGGGGGATATGTCCCACTCCCACCTCTCACATACATATTCGTATCTGCGTATCCTGTGTCCGGGTGCAACAGGAAAACGGCGGCAAAATTGTTGCTAGACACAGACACACGCGTCCACCAGATACACGGATGATGGCTGGCGGACGAGGCTCCGCACATTGCGGCAACACGTGAAGCAGCCAGGATTCCAGCGCCCTATTCTCCCCCTCTGTATCTATATACACATATATATAGATATGTATATTTTCCTTTGCAAGTGGGGGTCCACCTAGAAAATCGAAAGCGAAAACCATTTCCCATTGGTGCGATTGTATGTGCATAGTTGGCTGCGTAAATATACTCGTACATATCTGTATCTGTTGTTCTGCACTGCGAGCTTGCTGAAAGCAATTTCGAGTCATAACAAAGTTTAACGCTTATTTTAAGAGACCCCTGCTTATAAACTGTACTTCCTAGCTTTATGATGCACATCACACAAATGCTGAATTCTCAAGAATCAAAGATAAATGAAGTTATAACAATATTTCAATATAGTTTGCATAGGAAATACTAGGAAACTTATGAACCAAAAGAACGATAACAAAATACTTTACTATATAACTATAAAAAAAATTATTGTTCATAAGTTGAGCTCATAATTTCGCTAGTTGACTGGCAACACATCCATGTTCTTCTATTATTCAGCAGCATTACGCATACGCAGCGTTGGCAACACGGCACATTACGCATACGCAGCGTGTTGCGGCTGCCACTTGTGCATGTGGCATAATGAAAACCCAGACTAACGACAAACAGAACCCACACAAAAGGCGCACAAAGCATATTAAACGGAATACAAAATAAGGAGCTGCGGCAAAAAACGCAAATCCTTTTCAGTGGAAAATACAGCACAACTGTCATTTTGCCGATCTAAAATTGAAAAGCAGTGCGTCGACGGAGGCAGCGACGGCGGCATTGGCAGTGGCAGCAGCAGCGGCAGCGGCAGCGGCAGCGACTGCAGCAGCAAATGAGGCAGCGGCGTCGCGTTGACGTCAACTGAGAGACAACTGACAACGCTTATCTGGTCGCCTCTATGTGTTTATGGCGTGTGTTTTTAATGCCACCCGGCCGGAGGAGAGACTTTCCGTGCAGCACCACCAGTACAAATAGCAACCACCGTGCCACCGTGCCACCGTGCCGCCGTGCCACCGAACCACCGAGTCCATCCGAAACCACCCAAACCGCCCAGCAAAACCCAACGAAGTATTGGCTTGCCTGCAGCAGGAAGCTTGTGCGCAGAACCAGCATTTTAGGGTAGATACTTTCCCAGGGATTTGCGCACTGGATGGCCTCTATGTGTTTTTCGCTGGAGAGCGTGGAACGCACAGTGGTGACTTTTAACGAGGGGATACATAAGGCCGTTAATGCGCTCGCTTAATGGGCCTTCCTTCTGCCGCTCCGGTTTCGCACAGTGTACAGTACAGTCGTGGCGCAAATCAAAGGGTAGGTAGGTCAACACGTTAGCCAAGCAGATTGAAAGTGGAACGCTAGATGGCGCCATGCTTCTATTCATAAATTACACAGAATATCAATGTCATGGCAGGATTAATTCTTGCCAATGGACGGATTTCAAACATTTAAGGTATGTTTTTTTCGAAAAATAATAAAACTAAAACTAAGGTTGATGATGCATTCAAGAGTCTGGATTAAAGGTAGTAGCCCTTTGGAGCTCCACTAGCAGCGATAGCGCGGCGCACAATGTGATATCAGAAAGCTGAGAAGAGCGGGTATGATCGCCGGTGGGTGACTTTGACGGACCTCAGAACAACTAGCGCTATCTGCGTTAGATTAGCCCGTAGTTGCATTCGATTTGGAACACGAAGCAGCGCAAAAGTGGCGCGAAAAGCGCTTCGTAACTGTAAATGCCCCCTAGAAGCTGTAGCTCAGCGGCTATATCGCGCTGGCCCTCTCTCTCTCCTTATCGGTGTGTTGGTTTTTTTCTGCTTGTGTGTGAGTCAGTGGGGGGACTGAGTAACAAAACTTTTGGCGCCATTTTTAGTCTGCACTCGAGAGTGCAGCACGCAAAGCGCTAGAAAATAACAACAAGACAGTCACGCGGAAGAACAAAACTAATTCAGCGAATAGCAATCAAATGACGAGTCAAAATAGGGTGAAAGATTGCCCAAATAGGCGTACAGATCCAACAGGATCAGCCAGGCTCCTGTACAGCAAACATTATACGGGAATGCATCGTGTGCCAAAAGGTGCGCCTGACTACCCCAGCAAAGCAGGATTAGCCGCGCAAGGACCAAGTGGAAAAGTGCAAAGTGCCAGGCCTACAGGCTGTGGCCAAGAGAAGCCGCAGGCGGCGACAGGTGGGTGGACAGCGGGTGGCCAATTCCCGAAGGCGAGAACCAAAGCCGATCAGAAATCAAGAGCCCCAGCAAGCAGGTGCGACTGGAAGTGACTTGCACTGGGGAACGCTCCACGGGCAACAACAAACTACACTGGCCAAACCGAAACTTGATCGAAGTATGCAGTTACAAAAGATGTAGAAATGTAAGCCTACAAATAATTCGTTTCTTGCTGCAGTTTTTTAGGTAAGCTGCTTGTTATTAAGTTAATTTTAAATATAATGAAATTAACAAATTTATAAGCCAATCGCTTATAAGCTGTAATCAGCGATTTCGCATTCACCCTTCAAAACACTGACTAACTCAATAATATTGTGGTTAAATCAAACTACCTCACAGATCAGCATTAATTTGCATGTCAACGTCGATTTAATCAATTAAACTTTTAGCTTTACCTATAATTTCGTTTTCGCCTTCATGTAAAAACTGCTGCTAAAGAAAACTAAAAAAAAAGGTTTTCAATTTGTATAACATAAAACCAAAGTGAACATCAAGCTAATGTGCACCTAATTGTTATCAATTATTAACCATATTGCAATTTCATCACGGAACAACCATTAGTTGTGATTAATTATTTAAATACAAAAACGCACTGCAAACTACCAGCTAGCACATGATTTAAATTCACTCATAGGCCTAAAAACTCGCTGAAGCCTTGTAAACGGCGATTAAATGTGTAAATACTCGTACATAACCGAATAAATATATTCACGCGCACATGATTTCACTTGAGTCGAAGATTAATATGCCTGACCGACTAATTTGACGACGAGTGTAAATGCGCCTGGCCAGCAAAGTGCAAAAATCGTATGAAAAATGCCCATATCTACGTACGTACTTTGCCTTGTCGCTGTGCTTCTGCTGCGCTCTTCTTGGCCCGAAACGTTGTTCAGATACTTGTACTGGATACCGAATACTGGATAGTGGATACTGGATACTAGGTGCTTGGCGCTTGCCTGTGAAAATTGCCTTGCACGAACTGAACTGAGACTGAAACTGAACAAAATGTACTGGGCTGGCTGGCTGGCTGGCTGCCTGGCTGGCTGCTACTGCTACTGCGAGCGTCTATAGGCAAGCGAACTGAACTGAAATTCAACTGAAGCAGCTGTACCAGGCAATGGCCATACAAGCTATACAGAAACCCAACCAAACCGAACCGAAACCGAAACAGAAACACACATAGAGGCGAGCGGCAGAGAGAGAGGGGGCATACACAGCACACACAGCACACAGCACAGCACACAGCACAGCACACAGCAGAAGCAAAAGCAAAAGCAAGGCAGGAACGGCGACGAACAACGAACAGCGAGACCATCAAATAGCACGGAGTACGTACGTACAGGCAGGCCAAAGCAAAAGTATCTGTATCTGAGAGGCGAGCAACCCGGCCAGCCAACCAACAAGCAGGGCACATCGGGGGTAGGCGACTGTATGCGCACAGTGGCGGGCCTTCGGGTGTGCACGGCTCACGCGAGGCGGACACATTTGCGTGGTCGCACACTGGTGGGCCCTCCAATTAGAGGAACAGCGCATGCACAGTACAGGCACAGAATATTGAAAGTGCATGTTTTGGGCTATTCAAGTGAATTGAGATATGACTGCGAACCTTACAAAACAACATTTTAAAGCTGTCCCAGAGGAAATATATATTTTTTTAAATTTTCTAAAATTGAAAATTTAGTTTCCCTTGAAAACGACCTCGGTACGAACCCTACCAAGGCTTATCGCAAAGCAAGCACCCTAAAATTGAATGAGACGCGCATGTTCCGACTATTTTTGCCGCGACTGTACCCTGTTTGTTCATATAAAAAGCATGGAGCTGTGAGAACGAATTGCCAGTAGTATTTGGCGGCGCCGCTTTCCCCTCTCCGCACACACCACCCCCCACCCCCCACCGCCCTATCCATCCCATTTAATACCCCAGAGCTCGTCCAAAACGTCGTCACTGCCGCCCACCTGTACCGCCCACCTCGTCCCGCAAAAATTAAAAAATAAAGCACTCCTATTTCAGCACTACCAATTACACATCACCAACGCCATCAACATCGCCCCTTGGCCATCATTCGGTTCGTTAGAAATTCGTTGGCAAACTAAAGTTTTGTTGGCCATTCCAGAAAATATTTAACCTACAATATTGATTTGACATTTACATTTAAATCGATTGAGTAATCAGCTAAGCCAATCAGCTCGCACACCCGACGCGTCTGCATTTCAAAAAATAACCGTCAATATTTCGCGCGCGCCCTCCATTCAAAATTTCAATTCAATACGAGCACGATGTGGACGAAAGCTAAAGCCACCTAACCAAAAGGCGAAAGCAATGTGGCTCTGGCTCTGGCTCTATGTGGGCCCAAGTAGTAAGTAGTAGAGTGTATGGGCCACGCCGTGGCAGCACAAAAAGAATTGGGTCGTTTGGTTTATTTAGCAAAATTTATATAATAAACGGCCATCGTGGCAATATTATTTGGCCAGATAATTGAGGCTAAACAATAACGAATCAATCGTAGTGAAGCACTTGACACTCACCCGTATGAAAATGTCGCGTAATTTGCGTTTTAATTGCGGCAAATCGGTAAAAATCTGCTCGATTTTGGTTCAGTTGCTGCTCCGTTCACTGTATAAAATTTTCTTTGCACTGAATGCCCAAGTCGCTTGAGCGTACGTAGTACAGCTTTTGCCTTTGCCTTTGCAATATGAAATACACAGCGTAGAGTGAATGCCAGAGCCCAGAGCCATACGGCCATACGCCATATAGCTCGAGTACGACGCAAACGCAGGCAAACTGCTGGATGTCGCTGTGTGCGTGGCGAGTATCTGTGTATCTGTGTGCTCGCCGCTCGCTGCTGGCGCTGCTGGCACTAGCACTGCCACTCACAGATACAGAACGTTTCCCTATCGGTGTGTATCTGGCCTGGCTGGCGAATGTGGCAGTGTGTGTGGGTTTTGCTTTGGCTCTGCTGGGTTCGTTCGTTCGTTATATGAACACACAGCACGCCAGAGCAGAGCAGATGGACGGCACAGGAGGCGGATGAGGTGGAGGCGGAGGCGGAGATGGACGTGGAGATGGAGGTGGAGGTGGAACGGCAAGAGCGCAGAGTCAAAGCATTGAACATGGCCGCCTGGTCTTGGTCTTGGTTTGGCCTGACTGGCCTGCGGTTCGCTGTGAACAGTCTCTTTCGACATATTTTGTCCGCTTTTCAGTGGAATTTTGGATGGTTTTATCACTAACATGGGGTTTACTGGGTATGAGAAAGATTAGGAAAAACATTTATCCCACGAATGGCATTCAAATTTTTTAAGTATTTCATTTTAATATGCGCTTTTCCGGACATTTTCTGCAAGCAATCATTAAAATAATAGTAGTTTCCTCCGTTTTTAGTTAAAAAATTATATATTTAAACTTTATTGACTTGTTGTGGGTATGGGGAAATTTTGGAAAAACATTTTGCCCCGCAATGGTATTTAAATTGTTCAATATTTAATTAAGGAAATCTGAAACTTAGACCTTTGTTTGCTAGGAACTTAAAATGAAACGTACAGAGTATGGAAGAGTGTTTGGAAAATATAAATCACACGAATTAGACCTATTAATTTTCTTGTATGGAAATTCAATATGTATAATTTATTCAAAATTTTTTTTATTTAATATTAATATTTGTACATTATTATTTAAAACTTCTGTTTAGACTGACTGTTTCTAATTGATTTGGCTGTGATTCTTATAATTGCATCTTGGAAAAATAAATGCTATAAGCGATTTGAATGAGAAATATATTTTTTAAACACTGCAAAATGTTTAGTGTATTGTGTATAAAAATTTATATATGTTTTTTCTACGAATTAACTTAATTAAGCAATGATATGATGATATGATATGATATGATATATGATATGATATTATGTTATAACAAAACTCCTAGAGCTTAATTTATTATATATATTTGCGAAGGCTAGGCAAAAATTGTAAATGGTGTATGAACATCTACAAAAGAATATTAGCCATATATTCAGGAAAACTATAAAAAATTAAATTGTTTTTTTACAAAAATCTACAGCAAAAAGATAAATAGATAAATTTTTAACAAGTCGACAGATTGGACACGGCCTTAAAATTACAACAATCATTCATAGGCGAAATGATATCAGAGTTGTTCCAAATGGCCTTATCTAATCGACGAAAGTGACAGCGGAAATTCTGCCGATGAAAAAGCGCACTCCTCGAGTCGACCAGACCCGCGTGTTTTTCGTCCACCAGTATCTCGCTCTGTAGACCGCAGTACAGCACGGCTGTAGCTACAGCTAAATACGAAAATACGTACCGAACGAGTCTCTGAAGGGGAGTCGGTGCGAGCGAGACGGGGCTGAGGGTGCGAGGGAGACGGAGAGGGGCTGAGGGACTGAGGCGGTCGTTCCACATACGCGACTGGGTGTGCGACTGTATCTGAATCGGTCGGATTGTGAATCTGAATCTGTATCTGCCCGAGTCCGAAGCAAAGGCAAACAGCACACGAAACCAAAGAACCCGATTCGTTTGGGCGTAGGGTATGCGAAAATGCAGTGGAACAATCCGAGTGCGTCTAATGATGAATCGCTCAACGGATTAACCAGATTTCAGATTTGTGATTCCGTGATGCAACTGCCACTGATAATTTCGCATTGGTAAAATATGAATATGGTCACTTTGAAGTGGCATTTATTTAAATATCCCTAAGATAAGAAATGTGAGATACAAAGTAGCAAGTCAGTTCATAAAGTTCATTGGAAGATCGTTACATTTAGCATGCTCTTTGTTTAGCAAAGCCTATTATCGCACCCTTAAATATAATACTTTTTTTTACCACACAAGATTAGGAACATAAATATTGTAGGATCTAGAAAAATGCAAATATCTTTCCAAAATGTGTTGCAACTGTATTCCTTGATGGGACTAACAAGGTAACGTATTTTACAGATCATTGACCTCAACCCAAAACAGTTTGGGGTGCCTAAAAGGGGTTGCTTTGCAGCATACACAACGTATCTTTGGGGTGTACCGATATCCGGAAAATATAGCATAATTTCTAAATCCAGAAATGCACATATTTTGCTTGGCCCATTGGTCCCACCGTGCCAGTGGGTCGGTCGATTATTATGCTTGTTTGTCGTCTCATTTCAGCCGTGTGTCTGTGTAGCCATAGCTTCATAGTATGAAGCCAACGGCCCGGCCGACGGATGACATCGCCGGGGGATGGTGGGGTACAGTGGAGTGGAGTGGAGTGAAGTGGGCTGGTGGGGTTGGGTGGGCTCTGATGTTATGGCTCGGTGTTGGTTTCGTTTTCGGTTTTGATACCCAAGCGGGCTGCAGTCGGCGGACCGACGCGACTGCCGGCGACTTTCGGTGGTGGCAATTGTCGGCCAGGAGTGGCCGTGGATGAGGGGCAGGCCGGGGTCTCCAGCCGCTCATCGGGAGGAGCATGCAGAAACGAGCCAGCTAACGAGCCGGGCGAACTGGCGACGCTTCATCGAATCGAGGACGGACGCATGAGGCGCACATTTCGACAGGATGTGGATATAACGAGCCTGCATGCGTATGTACTTGGATGTGCCAGCGCTATGGTGAGCAATCCGATCGAAGGATGGATGCTCTGCGCGGTGTACATCTTCATTTGTTCGGTACTAATATCACCATACCCAATATTTTAAATTACATATGCCTTACTTACTATAAGGTTTCTAACTGCAAAGTTGTAATTAAACAGCACTAAATGTGTTACCAAAATTGGAATATGGTTAATGGGAACTTAAGGAACCACAATGGATCATCGGGCATGAGGTAGAAATAGCTATGAAACACATGCGTCTTGCCTGCCACATTCTGCTGCAACTTTTTCAATTTGGTAATGGCTGAGGAGTAGAGAAGGCCTCGGACCTTTTTGTGTCTACTAAGCATTCCTCTATGAGATCCTTGGTGTCTGGGTCTTCCTCTTTGCTCCTACCTCCGACCGACCCCGCTTACCCAGCTTAGGTTGATTCCTGCTGCCTGGACGTGGACATGCCACACAGGAATATGGACTCCGGCTTCACGTTTATTCGGTTTAGTAGACGAATATGTGCGGATTGCAGGGTCGAGCAGTTTGTGCCTTTCATGGAACTGAGCTGCGTGAGCTGCCTTGAGTAAGTGAATGTTGCAACACACACACATCAGCACTCCTGGCATATCCTTGTGCAGACAATCAGGAGACTGAAGTACTCGCAGCAGGATGCAGGCAAACTACCCAGGAACAGGGGATACGGTATACGGCACACGGGGCACTTGTTGTTGCCGCTCCACAACGTTGCATCGTCTTTGCCCATCCTACGCGAACAAATATGCTTGGCATATGGACTAAATGTACTTGGTTCTGCCTTTACGTTTCATGAAGGGCACTACGGCTCCGAACGAAGATATCTCTTTGGCGCCACTTTTTGTAGGGGATCGTTTAGTGGTGAATAAAATGGGGTTAACGAAGTTATGATTTCGCGTTGAAATTGTTCATGCAGTAAATAAGAAGTAGAGCTAATTCCTTTTAACGCAAATTTTAGTTACTAAGTTTTTAAGTTGGAAATATGGGGGTTAAGCAGAAGGCTTTTCCGTTTAATGCGAGTGAAAAGTTTCATTCCTTAGAGATTAGTTGTGTGCCGCTGAAGGATCCGAGATTGGGCAGTGAATAATACCTATTTTACGGCTTGGATCCAGTACGTTCCGTAAGCTTTTAATAACACAGCAGGTGATTCAAAACCTGAGGTACACCCCGATTCACTTATGTATATCGCTCTCCTTTCTGGCTCGGATTCTCTTTCGATTTCCGTTGCTGTTTCTGTTTCTGTTTTTTGCTCCCACCTTCCACGGGTTTCGTTTCTGGCGAACAGCTGATGGGGCTGCATGTGCGCCAAAAAGGGGAAATCGGGGCGAAATCTGGGGAGCAGCTCGCTAAATAATACGGTTAACGATGGCCCGGCGACGCGTTGTTGTTTTGTTGGTGTGTTAGTGTGTGTTTTGGATAGAGCTTGCCGGTCGCTAGCAACAACGAGCACGGGTTGGGAGTGCGAATCCGAATGCCCCACGCCACACGCCCACACTCCCCATGCCCCATCGGCCTCCACGGCCAAGTTCAGTATCTGTATCTTCGGCACATTCCGTGGGGCCTATTGTTGCACCACCAGGCAGTGGCAAAACCAACACGAGCAACAGGATTCACTCCCATGTGACCCAATTTAAAGCGGGGCTCTAAAGTGCAACACTACTCACTGCCCAAACACATGTGGGTGTTTGGTGGTCCTTAGAGCCTGGTTCGACTTTCAAGTAATTAAAACTTTTGCGGTGATTAATTTACAGAACTGAAAATGTGTTCACACCTCGACAATGGAAATTAGTTTAATTATTACTATTTATTAAAAACAAAATAAGTCATAAGTTAACTGTTTTATACCCGTTACTAGATTACTAGAGTACTAGATTCATTGAAATGTATGTAACAGGTTGAAGAAAGCGTTTCCGACCCCATAAAGTATGTATTATTGATCGGGATCCATCTGTTTTTCCCTTCGTGTGAACGTCGAGATCTCAGGAGCTATAAAAGCTAGAAAGTTTAGGCAAGCAGATTCCATAGAGATAGCGATATGCCAGATTTTTTGATAACGCGTTCGTAGTGTGCTTCGATATTAAATACTTACTCCTGCATCGCTTGAACATAGAATTTCCATTAAGTATAACTGCTTAGAACAAAATTTGCTCAGTGCACCCAGAGTCTGATGTCATTTTAGCCGATTTTCGGTGGTTCGCTCTCTTAGTTGTCTTGCTGTGCAATGTACAGTTTTGCTTTCTCCCGCTCGCAATGTTTTTGCCGCCTTGCTTCTCTGCTTTTCTTTCGGCGGCACAGTGAATGCTCGCAAATGGAAGCCACTGAATAATCCGACTTAAATGAAAAGTCTGGTGCAAAGTGTGTTATCGTTAAGATGAATTATATTAAAGTTTAGTTTAAATTTAAATTCGTACTAATACTATCTTAATACTATCTTAAGTAATACAATGTTTTGGACTTTGTATGATGTGATATGAACATACATTTTAATTTTCCAATATTCATTTTTTTGTAACTTATATATTATATGAGGTTGCTTCGTCATTGAGTTTAACGCCATATGGTACTTAGTGTTTTCCAACAAGAACACAGCACAAGAGCCTTGTAAATTGAGCAATCAAAGATGTTTTGCCAAAAGTTATATTCACAGATTCATTTTAAGGAATGTAATCTCAATAATTTACAAAACATAGATTTCAGTTAAATAACATATCCATATCGACAGGATGGCCGTTAATCTTACGACGCTCCATAGAGAGCATATACTGGATTTTCGACTGCATTACCATCGCACTGGCCAATGGCATATTCCGGATTTGCGCGGCAACGCTCAAGCCAAAGTAGGTGAACTCGTCCTCGCCTCGCATTCCAACTCCGAGTCCAACTCCATTCGCCCGTCCAGCTACCGATGATCCCAGACCCAATCCCAGGACCTCACTCTTTTCAGAAATGGAGCAGGCTGTCGACAGGGGCAATGGCATCTGAACAGGGACTTGGGCTGGAAGTCCTGGTGAATTGATGTCTCCGATCTTGGGCAGGGAAGGCGGCGGAGTGGGAGGTTGATCCATGGGCATGGGTGCTGGCAGAACAGTAAAAAGGGACGAGGGTGTGGGATCCAGTGGCCTCTCGGGGCCGGAAAAATCATCAGGATCAGGCTTAATCTCCGTCTGTATCTTAATCGGCTTCAGTCTGGTAAGTCGAATCTGTAGACGCCGTAGTTGTGGAGTTGTTGCTGTTTCCAACTCATTCTGTAGAAACAAATACAATATGACATAGTTATTTATGTTATCATTTATACATGAGAAAACTGGAACTTAATGTTATGAATGAAAACCAGTCAGCAAACGTCCCGTAGACATCTGTAAACTAACTAACTATAACAAATTTCAATATGGTTCCATACAAACCAATCCTACCGCACAATGTGTTTTCATATTGATTAAATTAGTGGATCGCGCTATTTTGTCCGCTATGTGGGCATATAGGAATACTACTACTGCTTCAAATTTGTCACAAAATCTTTTTCAAAGCTTATTATGTTTGATCTCACAGTGGGCCACAAAAAATATTTGTCGAGGAATATTTTCGGTTGCAAAGATACATACATATTACTGCTGTGATAGAATTACCATTTCTCATACATAAGCATTAATTGTGTGTGCTTTTCATTTTCAGTTTCTCAAAATGCTGAGTAAACAAGTTGCGGAGATCAAAAAGGTTTATTCCTTTCTATTATTATTAACTTTTAGAGTGTAAGCTATTTTTGCTGGTACCAGAATCCTCTAATTTATTTAAATTGAGAAGCTTGGCAATGAGTCTATAAATCTTATTTCAAAATAAGCTCAACAATTAATGTCCTAGATCTTATTTGATCTTATTTTGATTTGAATCCTACAAATCTTCGAATCATAATAATCCCTTACCGTGTCCAAGAACTCTGCCAAAAATCCGTGAAGTGGGGCAAACCAGGGCGTCTTTGGCTGATATCCCGGAATAGTTCTGATCTTCTTCAGCTCCTGGTGGTACCCAGTACGGAGATTCTTGATCTTCATCTTGACGCCCTGGATGGTAAGACCTGATTCGTATGGTTCTATACCAGCATTGATCCCGGACTGAATTCGCCGATAGGCGGCGTTTCGAGCTCGACGCAAATAGGGTCGCTTGTTCCAGAGACAAGGCTCCCGGCCGTAAAGCTCTACGAACTTGACCGTACGCTCATCCGAAAATCGATAGGGTAGTCCCACCACGCCGGGCGGTACAGCACTATTCATGGTCGTCTTGAATAAATGATATTTTTTGGTAGTGCTTTCTATTTTTAGAAAACCCACTTAGGCAATGGTCCCTCGTGCCAAAAAGCACAAAGGGAAAAGCACAAACGATAACCACGTCGAGCAACTGCTGCTCCCCAACTGACGATGTACATTTTGCTTTCTGCTTTTCTACTGCTTCTCTCCACCTCTCTCTTGCTGTTTCGCTCATGTGATGATGTTTCTTTGATGCTTTTGCTGTGTGCTTCTGCAAGTCTGCTTTCATAAAGCACAAACGACAGGAATATAAAACTGATGTTGACTAGAAACATTAAAATTTAACGAGCTGGCGAAGGAAACGACCGTTTAGATCCGCGGTCCTTGCCTCCGAATACGTATGTACACCTCTGTACAAGTTTGAAAATAACAACATCCAAACAACATCAACATCCAAAATCCCAAAAAAGCTAGTAAACAACGGTTTTTCAAGCATTGCCAAAGCAAAAGCGAATGAATGTGCTGACGAATTGCTTTGCTGCTTTTGCGAGCGAAAGAGAGCGCAGGTCCGTTATTCGTGTTTGAGAGGCGCTCTTTGAACACAGTGGCGGATTCAAAGTTCCGTCTTCCGTTCCGTTATTCCGATTATACTTATGGGTTTTTCTCCCATCAAAAAAATGAAAACATATTTGTTCATATACACATACGTACATAAAAAATAACGGACATATAGGCGTTTACGCACGTGCATATGTATGTAAAAAATAAAGCTGAATTGAAGTTGTCTTGCCTCTCTTTTTGTGCTTATCAAATGGAGAATCGGAGAGGGATCGCACATTAACAGCAGCTGTTAATTAACAGAAAGCATTTGGCTCGCCCATTTTGCTTTAATAATGCAATTTCTGGATTTCGAAGCAGATTTTCCCTCATGCAATCTGTGTGCAACGGAATGCAGTTTCTTCCTTCAGGTAGGTTCCATGCTTGTTCGTCTGCCCTTTGCTCTCGCCCCTTCGCTTTTCCTGTTTCATCCTTCGCTATTGTGAACTTGCAACAGCGCGTGACATCGTTATCCTTTGTGCCTCCAGGAGGAAAAACTGCAGCAACGATTCTGAGATCCTTTGTTCCCGTTTCTGGGCATTTACGATTTGATTGTGGGAAAACGGCTTGCTGCATCTGCCTCTGAAAATCTAGCCGATATGTAACGGTTGTTTCCCTATAAGGATCTTCTGCACATAGTATTTAATTTTACTTCACACCACAGTTTCATGGTCGTGTTTATTTAATTATATAGCAGTACTTACGTAAATTATATATATATGTTATATTTTATATATATAAATTATATATAAAATGGTAATTAATTAGTAAGGAATAATATTTATTTTGTGCCAGAAAAATCAAGCAAGAGTGCATTTTTAATCTAAAGTGAGGCAAAGGAAGAAAATTCTATTTATTTATTATAGGGTTAGAATAAGAATCCAGAAGTTTGATTCACTGTAGGGTTAATATAAGAATCCAGAAGTTGGATTCACTGTAGGGTTAATATAAAGTTAACGAAAATCTTAGGTAGATTGACAATTTTTTTTTTTTAATGTGTGTATTATTAATGGTACCTATTTTTTGGCATATAATTTTTGGCGCCATTTTTAAAAAGCGACCCTCGTTCTTTGTGGTATGCTCAACTGTGGTACTGCTCAACTAAAAGAGTTTGCTCTGCTCGCCACGCAGTTGTACATATGGAAAAGTGGAAGAAAATGCGAAACCGCAATATAGTTGCAATATTTCGCAGGACCCGAGAAATGCATTTATTTGTTTTTGCCCATTTAGTTGGTCTACTATTGTGCAAAACGCATTTCCCTGCTTAGCGTTTTATTTGTTTTTACATGCCATTTATCGCTTTCCGTTTTGCTCGCCATCACAGTGAGAGACACTCTCTTTCGCTCTCACCAATACCAACACGGCATCGCTGCCGACGTCGCTGCTTGTCGGCGTTTCTTTTACCCTTACGCATCTTCACTCATTTTCTTCGTTCTGCCGACAGTCGCGTTCTTCCGTACAGTTCATTTTTAGCCACACAAGCGCAAGGTTGGTTTCCTCTACTGAGTTCAAAATAATATTGTGCAAGATAAAATCTAAAGAGTATATTGATTTGGTTATACAGATATAAGTGCCTAGTTGTGTGAAGTATACAGTTTTCCGTCGTTAAATTAGTTGTGAATTCAATCAAGCAGCGCGTGTCTGTACCCCAAAGCCAAAGAAGAGCAGAGCAAGCGTTGCCATTTTGGCTTTGACTTCTTTACTTTGCTCGCTGCTTCTTAGGCCTCGCCTCAAAATGGCCGCCAACATCGCAGTTCGCCTTATTTTTCACCCAAAAAGTAGCAATTTTTCAAATTGTTTTCTAGACGCCAAGCAAAACGCGCGCCTTTTTTGCTTACTATTTCCTATAAGATATGCGGTTTTGTGCATTTGTTTTTACCCGACATTTAGCGTTTCTCTTTTAATTTGCCGGTTCGGAGAGAGTGGCGTTGCTCTCTCACTCTCTGAGAGAGTGAGGAGTAGTCTGTTCAAGATAATTTATTTGTAAATAATTTCTTTGTCCTGTTAGTGTAAAAAAATTATATTTATATTTCATAAAAATACCATTTGTGAGTATCGGCAGATAAGAAAGTTGGAGAAATGTGGAAAAAACATTGCGAACCGCAAAGCCACGCAGTTCTCCCGCTCTCTCTCTCGAACATCTGCCGCCTTCATTTCTTTTTTTTGCGCACCTCTGCCGCCGTCGACTGCGGCAGCGGAGTACGTGTGAGAGCGCCGCCTTCATTTTCGGCAGTCGACGCTGACTCGTTCAGTTTTTTTCGAAGAACAAGCGACAAAGGTTGGTGAACGGACGGCAGCAAATAAGATAAATACTTTAAAAAACATCAATTTTGTGACAAATAACACATGTATAAGTGATAACCAACAGCTTGTTCAAATAAACGGCTAGTTTCCAAGTTACTTTAATGAGTGAGAGAGAGGAAGGAAGAGTTCAAAGAGCGCTGTGATAAAACACGTTAAATAATCAACATTAATTGCTAAAAGCCCTTCTTTTTGGCCTCTTATACAAATAACTAAGTGTTTCTTTGAAATCTGTACCCAAACGACCATTTCCCCACCGTTTTCGAGGTTTTTCATACATTTTGAGAGCGCATCGCAGTCTGTACCAATATAAGGCAGTCATCGCATACAGAAAAAGTGTGTTGCCATTTCGCTGATTTCCGCACTCGCCGTCGAAAGCAGTGCCACTTTTTTTGGCCAAATAGCCGGGCCCTTTAAGCCGCCAAACAGTTGCGGTCTCAAAGGTCCAGGCGTATTCCTTTGTAGAACACCAATTAATTTCATATTAATTATTAAGTGGCGCGCGTTCGAGCAGATAGAAGAAGCAAGAAGCGGGAGAGAGCAAGCGCGCGCGCGCGCATTTTTCAGTTTCTTTTATTTTATTTTCTTGCTCAAGAGTGCTGAGCGATAGCCCTAGTAGTGGTGCCATCTCGCTTTCACCGCCATCGCCTCGTCCCGGTGTGGCCTGCTGTCTCGCTCACGCTACCCCTGCTGTTGTGTTCGCCTGGCTTTTTGGTACAGGAACATGGCGCGCTGCTAAACCGAAAATGTGATGCCCATAACATTTTGAATTAAAGTGTTTAGTTTTCGGTCGAGTACAGTACTACTAAGTAGTTATATGAATTTTTTAATATTTGAAGATGGCTCTAAAAAGAACAGACTTCGATTTTACAGCTTTAGTTTACGTAGAATGTACAGCATTTGATCGCATTCGTAAAACACTATATTTTAGTGCTTAACTTGGTGAACTGTTTAGTTCTGGTTGTGCAGTACAGTACAATGGAATACAAGTTTTATAGATATAAGGATACTGGAAAATGTGCTTCTTGCAGCATTTATCTAAAAGTAAACCAGGGTGCAATTACAGTAATGCTAAGCAGAATCTGTAGACTGTTAAAAATGTACCCAGCTTATAATTATTTCTCTTCTTACTTGCAGCTCGAAGCAAAAATACCTAGTGTAACACTTGTTAAATAGTTTCAACAAAAACACATTCAAATATGTCTGATAAGCCAAAACGCCCACTCTCCGCCTACATGCTGTGGCTCAACAGTGCCCGCGAGTCGATCAAGCGCGAGAATCCCGGCATCAAGGTCACCGAGGTGGCCAAGCGCGGTGGCGAATTATGGAGGGCAATGAAGGACAAGTCTGTAAGTACACATGGCTATTGCTATCCAGATATCCTTACTTACACCCCAATCTCTTCTTTTGACTCTTAGGAGTGGGAGGCCAAGGCTGCCAAGGCTAAGGATGACTATGATCGGGCTGTCAAGGAGTTCGAGGCCAATGGTGGCAGCAGTGCTGCCAACGGTGGAGCCAAGAAGCGCGCGAAACCAGCGAAAAAGGCATCGAAGAAGAGCAAGAAGGAGGAGTCCGACGAGGACGACGATGATGAGAGCGAGTAAACTGCTCATCCCCTCATCACAATCCATCACCAAGTCACACACAACCAGCCAGAACCCACAAGCAAACAAGAACACTGGTGGCAACACCACATCCAAACATCAGCATCCACAAATTCCCCCTTCTAATATAAAATGCTAAGCCCGATCATCTCATCGACAACATGAACAAGCGAGATCTGTTGAAGTTGTATCCCCAAACAAACACGCGAGAGAACAAAAATAAGTGAAAATAAGCAAAATTGTATTTATACATATGAGTTTTTAAGTTTATAGTAGTCGTTTCTTTTATAATGCCCAATATACAAAGAAGAGGACAGCCAACAGAAAATGAGAAGAAATAAGAGTAGCAGGATGTGCGTTGAGGTGTTTTTTTTTCGTTCCTGCGCCGATTCGCCTGAAAAGTGCGAATCGTTGGGGAAATTGAAGAGGAAAGTAGTCCCCCTTGCATATAAATTGTGTAAAGTAAACGATAACATAATTCCATTATAAATAAAAAGATACAAACAATTGCATCTTGTTCTCTCAGTAGTTGGATGAAAGCGACTAAAAGATCGGGCAGCAAAGGGAATCCACAATATCCACTTCTCAGACGACAAATACACGAAAAACTACACACACACCGCAAATGAATCGAACGAAATTTCGCTCAGGTCTTTTCGTCATTTTGCATTAAACTTAATGTTTAACGTCTTGTTAGCTAAAGATGTATAGCAGAGGAAGAAGTCGGAAGTTAGATGAGACAAGCAGATGTAATTGCATTTAATCGGTAGTTTTAATTGATTACTATACGTATAATTTAAAGAGAAAACCAACAAATTAAAATAAATACATTTTTTAAATGCGTTGAAAACTGAACATCTACTTATTTCCTGGAACAAAAATAGGAAAACGAGCTTTGGCTTGGTACTTTAAACGTTTTATTTTTTAAATATCATGATGAATTCAATTGATGATTCATGCTACACTCTAAATGGATTTCCTTCGTTTCCGTTAGTTATGCAAAAATCAATGCAATGATTTCTGTGGGATTTACGGTACTATTATATTAATGTATATATTTAACTATTTATCGTATGGGATTTCGCATACAAATACCATTAGAGTTCTTGTGTTCACTTTGGGATTATTAAATGTTAACAGATCTAGAATAGAAACAACCCTTTAAACAATATCTCCTCAGAGCAATGCTATGATGAATCGGATTTGTGTTGGGTGCTGCTCGGGTGAAACAGGTAGAGATTAAAGCTTAAATTTAGATACACGCTCCTTAAGTGCCAGATCATCTTACAAATTAAGTATGGGGGCCTTTGTTTTTTGGTTTTCCACGGTGTACAAAACAGAACGGTGTTGCGCTTATTTATTATCGAGCTTAGACTACGAAGTTATGGCAAACAAAAAACAAAGTCTCTCTCAGAGCTTTTCCACAAAAGAAACAACACGGAAGTCAAGAAACGAAAGAAGCTGTTCCAAAAGGGTGTCCATAGCATGTTGTTGGTTGTCCTGGCACCCACCGCAGATCTCCAACCGTCATAGTGGTCTGTCCCTATCTAATTGCGATTCAGCCAGAATATTGTCTTGAGTACGAAGTAGGCCAGGCCCAGACAGTAGACGATCTTCTCCCGCTGCGTGCGCTGCTCATTGTTGATCTCGATGTTCAGCACCCGGCGATTCAGCTTGGCCAGCTGGCGTCTCAGATACAGGATCTCCTCGTGGGGCGTCAGCTCGCCCATGGGCGTGCCCTCTCGGTGCGCCAGCATCGAGGCATCCAGGTTGTTGTGCTGCTGCTGATTCAACTGCGAGCGCTTGCTGGCACTGCCCGTGGTCACCTGGAAGACATAAGGTATGCGAAGATTAATGCCACATAGAGGTTTAGGTGTGTGTGCCATTTCAAGTGTTTGGTTTTTGAAAATTTGGGACCCTTGTTCTGTAATCAATGTGACATTTAAAATTTAATGATTTAGTAGAGAAATATTGTATCCCAAGGATTCCATTGATTCCAGATTAGCAGAAGCCAAATAATAATTGTCAGAAGCAGGAGTCATTTTCAAAGCTCCCCCCCAAAAATTCCCTGTGTCAATATAAACAAACTTTTGATAATTCACCCCAAATTGAAATTTCTGTACAGTGAACAATGACAACCAGCCCCAGCCTTGCAGACGTGGATGATGGCGAGCTGCCGAAACTGGAGGCGATAATCAGTGCGCTGAAGTGCGAGCAGACGGGTCACATTATGGAGGCGATACTGCTGTACGAGGAGAGCATCTTCAAGTTATCCCAGATGGCCGATGCGGAGCCGAGTCGCCGCCAGCTGTGCTTGAAGTACTTGAAGATGTACGAGGCGCGGGCCAAACAGCTGAGGGATCAGGTCAAAGGCCACCTGCACACCAGCAGGATGCTGGATCACATCACCATCGAGCAGGGTGCCAGGGGCAGGAGCTACCAGCGGCTGTTTGGTGCGTACTTGGACGATTCCGTCCGGGAGGCCCATCTCAATGAGCCCCACCTGACGGAGCCGCCTCACTTCAGGAATTTGCTCAACTTCTTGGAGGTGCTGGTCAAGAATTGTCGCTATCTAAAGTATATTCGCCTCACAACGCGCCCAGATGCGGCGGCACCCACGAATCAGTTGCAGATGCTGCAGCAAATGAAGAGCGACCTGGCCGGTGGCAACATCCAGATGAATTTCCAGATGGACGACAGTTTGCATGATCGCAAGATCGTGCTTAGCTCGGGTGTGGTCATTAAGATTGGCCGAGGTCTCCACTACTTTGAGCCCATGGAGAGCTCTTACAATCTTGGTCTGTGCGATTTTGATTTTCGCAAGTGCCTGGCCACCGAGGTGGACATCTGGAAGTGTCGTCCCTTCGCGAGGCGTCTTAAGGATCCACAGGAGGACGAGGATCGACCGGAGGCCCATGCCTACTCCAGCGATTAACAAGAGTGAGACCGTGTTTCCACACAGTCCTTGGGAATTGGGTCAGCCGTGTTATCAAAACAGTATTAGGAATTCAATAAAACCAGCTGGTTATTAATCGCTTGGCAAACTGAATGGGTGGCAAGCGCATTGGGACCGCTATCTATTACCATTCTTGGCTGTTTCATTGCGTCATGTGTAGATCACTAACATCTATAAATGCACGTTTATCAAATCAAGTTATCAATGAAGTACCTTTAAGAAGAAATCACTAAGTAGCTCTTCTGTCTGCTGATACGCAAAATCGTAATCTTTTTAGAATTAATTCTGCCTATCCATTTGATTTATAAGTTAGAAGTACAATCGAATTAAAAAACTAATATTTACTCACCTGCGAGTCCGATTCAACGGAATTGGCGTCATTTGCGTGGAATCCCATACGGGCAACTCCATTGGCACGCACATATTGGGTGGCATGGGTCTCCTCGTCGTCGGCGTCCTCGTCGAGATCATTACCATACAAATGATGGCCATTCGCCCTAATGGGCGAGCTCTCCTCGGAGGCCGAGGGGAAGTGGTGATCGGTGAGGGTAATGATGCGCGGTGGCGTCTGGACGCGCACCAATCCGACCGATGGATTCTTGGGCAGAATTGAGTTCTCCAGCTGGATTTCCCGCGGAGCAGAGCGCGTCTCCAGGTGCTGATTGTGGCCCAGGACCACAATTCGATCCGGTACATTCATGTCAATCTTGTCGTGATAGTTCCAGGAGCTGATCAAGCCGTTCTGGTTGGACAGCAGCAGATCCTCGTTGGAGTACTCCCCAGTGGCCTTAATTCTCTTGGGTACCCGCATCTTGTCGTTGATTTCATGGGCATACTTGGCGTCGCTGTAGAGATCATCGTCCAATCCATTGAACATGGGCGTCGGCGATTGTGGGGTCACCATGGCGATGTCCTGGGGGTAACCTTTCTACTGATCCAATGGAGCTCACTTGCTTTTCTGCAGCGCAACTTTTGGTTTTTTCGTTATTTTTCCAATTTTGTTTTTTTCAGGTAGGAGGCGGCCGTGAGAGAGACGTTTTCATAACAAATTAATAACCACAATTTGGCAAGCGCAACATTTTCGTTCGGGTTTTGTGTGTGTGTTTGTTGCGGATTAGGTTTTTCGAATGCTTTGTACTTACATTGCTCGGAAAATGACAGAAAAATGTCCGGGTAATCCGTAATAATTTACAATTTTTCTCCTGCCTTTTGTTATGTGTGTGAGGAGATTGGGATAGAATGTGCTAAAAAATACCAGAAATTACAGTCACTCTTGCGCCACTCGCCAGGTCCGGCACTCTAGCTTCTTTTTAGCTAAAGTAATTACTTAGCTCAATGGCAAAGAAAACAGTTTTAAAGAAGTTTTAAGGTATTTTGATGATTCATTTTATAAATAGTTATTTGTTTCCTAAGAATATTACTTTGCAGTATTCTTTAATCTTGCACAACTAATTTAAAAGCAGACTTAACGAAAAGTTTAGCTTCTTATAAGGTACAAAAATAGAATGAGCACTGTTAGTCTTTGCAGATAACAAATTCCTAAAATAGTTTGCTATAATGTTTGAGCTGTGGTCTGATTCGGTTAAAGTTTAAGGGATCGTAGAAATAATTACAAATATATGTAAGACTTTATGATATTTAAGGATAAATATGTTTTTATGTGGTTGTAATGGTTTTAAGTGCCCACTAAATCACTTCACGCCGCGTGCTGTTAGGCGCCTTCCGCCCTTAGTCAACACTGAAAAATACCAACGCAAGTGGGCCGCACTCATTTTACAACAAAATTTCCTCAGCCGCCGACAGTGAGACGCGCGTCTTTTTTATCCAGTGATTTATGCTGAATTTACGGCGTTTCAATAGCCCGATAAAGTGAAAAACTGGAAATAAATCGCATCAGAAGTGAGTAACTAAGTGGCGAAGCGTTTAAAGCTGCCAAAACGAAGTTTAATAGCGCTTTAAAAGTGGCAGTCCAGAAGAAGAGAGAGCAATCGAGAGCGCGTTCTGCCAGCGTCGCTGCCTGCGGAATGTACAGTTGCGGCAGCGACGTCGCTTTTCCTTTCGGCGCGCAAACACAAATAAATACAGAACATTAAAGATTGACACAAAGAAACTAGAGAAAACCGCATCGTTACTTAAGTTCATTAATAGATTGTGTGTATTTTGTAAACTATAAATAACACACCACTCGCCGAGCAGAGTCCATAGATAACGACTGACCATATATCCATTTTGCAGCACGTTTTTTCGAACGCAATAATACACCATGGAAAGACGCCTGAGACGCCCGCGTCGCACGGAAGACTTGTCCAGCGGTCCACTTCTGGCCCAGTCCACGCAACCCAGCCTCCTGCCGGTGACCCGACGAGCGGGCTCCATGACAGCTGCCGCTGCAGCCGCCACCGCCACCACCGGTATCGTCACCCGGACACGTGCCTCCCCGTCGCGCAACAAGGTCGTCGCACCTCCCTCACCTGAACTCGGGCCGCGCACCCGCCGCTCCAGCCGGCCGAGGTCATCGGTGGGTCCGCTGACCGGATCGGGATCTGGATCCGGGTCATCGCTGCCCGTCAAGGTCGCCATCAAGGCACGCACGCCCATCCCAGAGGTTTCCGAGGTGAGTTATCCAGCTAAAACCAGTTTTGCTGGGCGGTGGATAAGTGCTTCTCTTCTAGTGATCAGTATTGCAACTATCAGCAGATTATAATTTTGAAATCGATTGAATTTTACGTTAAATCTTCAGTAAATATGAGATAAGTTATGATTTTATTATGACATATTTTGTATACTTCCATGGATTTCAGTTTGATTAGTAATGGTTATCAACGTGATTACTCAGTCACCCATTACAAATAATTAAACTGAACTATAACATTAGCTTTAATTTTCCTACCTTTATTACAAATGTCGAGGTTTTTCTTTGGTTTGTTTGGTGCTGATAAGTAGCACCCCCGCCCTGCTTATCAGTTTAGAGTTCTGCCCTCATGTGTTATCATAAGGAAATTACGGATTTGGAATTGTTGAGCTAAACTGCTGATTACAGATATAGGGAAATCTAATCAGTGTCCCCAAAAATGCTTTTCACCCAGTCTTTGAGCACCTACATAGTTTTGCACAATTTTTATTGGTTAGATAGTTTTAGACTTTGTTTCTTCTCTTATGGCACCCATACTTATGATCTTATATTACAGGTATCATCGCCCGTTCGTCTGTCAACCAGCAATCTCCCCATGACATTGACCACCAACACATCCAGCGGCGCCCCAAACAAAGCGTTTAACACAAGCTCCGTGAACAGCGGCAACAGCTTCAGCCGTACAATTACAAGCAGCTCCACCACAACCACGGAGCGCATCGAGATCCGTGCTGAGGGCGACAGCGAGGTGGACACGGATTCCATTCGCAAGCGCATAACCGAACGTCTGCGCAGATCGGTGTCGAAGACAATCTCGAATTTAGCTGGAACTCCAGTAACAAACACCGAAGAAGGCAGTCGCTATAGTAGGAGTGTGTCCCGATCCGTTTACGACGATGAGAAGTCCTCCAAGCGAAGTTACTCTACGGGTGAGGAGGACATCGAGGAGGAGGATGAATTGGAGGAGGATCAGTTCCGTAGTTTCAATGTAACCCGTAATTCGGCTACACCGGCGGAAACATCTTGCCGTCAGTTGAAGGCTCCTAGAGAATTCGGCGGTTGGCTAGGCGCCTTCCTGCTACTGCTCCTTCTGCCCACCACCGTCTACTATTTGACATGGAGCTGCACGGCCAGGAATTCCTGTCAGTTTAAGCGCCTCAATCTGGGTATACTGCTGGATGTGAACTATTTAACGCGCCAGGTGTTCCAGCCACGAGTGGTGGCTGCCTTTGCCGCCTATCAGGTTGTGGTATTCTTGCTGGTTGCACTCCTGCCCGGACGAAGGGTTCACCTCACCCGCGAGACGTACAAGTTTAACTGTCTAGCAGTTGCGCTTACCCTTTTGATTGCCGGAGGCGTTGCCGAGTATCTGAAGTACCCAGTGGTGACCTTCGTTCTGCGTCACTATCTACGTTTCTGTATTTTTGGACTCGTTGGCGCCTTTGTGGCAGCTGCTTGGAGTTACTGGCTGGTGGACAACGCCAAGTACAATGTGCTGCGTCAAACGCTGACCAATGAATATGGCAGGACTGGCAGCTTTGTGGTGGACTTCGCGCTTGGCAGACAGCTTAATCCCAAGTGGCTAGGACGCGTGGATTGGAAGCAGTTTCAGTACCGTCTCTCCTTGGTGACCACTTTGATATATGTCGCCTGTTACATCTACCAGACGCTCGTGTGGCCCCCGAAGCCGCAACTGGGAGAACAGGAGGGCTATATGTACCAGGCCAAATACTACTGGAATAATGTAAACTACGATCCTGCCACCCTGCTCTCGGCCAGCTGTTTGCTGTTCTACGTGCTGGACGCCATCATTTTCGAGCACCACTTGAGCTCATCCTTTGAACTGCAACACGAAGGCTATGGCTGCTTGCTGCTCCTGCGCTACGCAGCCACACCATATCTGCTGACGGCGGTCACCAAGTATTTCTACGAGCAGCGTGTACCCATCTCCTGTTGGTATGCTCCGCTAGGAGTGGCTGCTCTGTTGTCTGTGGGATTGCTGGTCAAGCGATTCACTTGCGCCTACAAGTACAAATACCGGTTGAACTCGCAAAGTCCGATCTTTGCCAACATTGAAACTATTCACACGTATCAGGGCAGCCGTCTGCTGCTCAGCGGGATGTGGGGATGGGTACGGCAGCCGAACTATCTCGGCGACATCGTGGCCCTGCTGGCCCTGGCTGCTCCCATGGCCCTGCAACCTGCATGGCCACCAGTTTTGGGCCTCAGTCTGATCATCCTGCTCCTGCTCCATCGCGCCACCCGAGCGAATGCCCGGAATCAGGCGCGCTATCACTCCTCCTGGCAGCGCTACAGCACCCAGGTGCGCAGCTACATTCTGCCCAGGATCTACTAAGCACTGATTCGTCGCATTAGGTAACTTTTTATTTCTTGTGGCCATCTTTATTTTTATTTCGATTTCAGTTTGTTTATATTTTATGTTTCGAATTTGTATATATAATACGTATTCATATTGTTCTAGACCACCAATATGCCCCCATTACATTTAGTACAAAATTTGATTTTACTCTCGCCGACGACACACATTTAACAAAATTAGTTTTCACACACATAATCTTAGATAAAAAGACTCCCAAACCATCTAGCTGTACGAACTTATGCGCTTAAGATTTAGACACCCTAAATATTCAATACTTGTAATCTATGTGGTATGCATATAGATAGTACTTTTTACATTTAAATATGAAATAAAAAATCCTTAGTTTCTATGCTATAAAGAAACGCACAACGACTGGTGTTCTTAATTTATTATGCCATTTATGGATAGTGTAAACATTAATCCATGGTAACAACTTTCCAGCAAGCCAGTTGTATCTTGATAAGCTCCACAAATCGATTTTCACTTAGCACTTGGCAGACTTTAAGGTCAGTCCAAGTGGATTTCAAGTTGAATGGAAACACGAATTATGAGGAGCGCATTTCATTGCGTTGGCCAGCAAACTGCGCCCGATGATGATGATGAATGTCAGTCAGCGAATAAAAGAAGTAATTTTGTGTAAAAATACCCGCTCCACCGCCCGTTTCGCTTTTCCGGACGGACCGCATAGAGTTCCTGTTGTGGGCGTGGCGCGCAGCCCTTACAACTGTTAATGACATTTACGAATGTTTGCGAGCCACCGAAACTTGGTAGACCCCCATCCGTTCCCCTTCCCCCCCTGCCCAAACCACACATAATGCCAAAATAATGACGAAGTCTGGGCTTGCACCTCCAAGAGACCTGCGCTCATGACACTGCACTGAAAAAGAGTTCGACTAACACATGTGTTTATTTCAAAAACAGTAGGCGACTTTACATTGCAAAGTCATATATACTGGATTTGAATACTTTAATATGTTTTTAAAGCGCTTTTTTTCTGTTTTTAAATGTAATATTTATGCATAACTATATGCATAATTTCAGTGTACAATGCTATAAAAAAATGACGCGGAAACTGTCAGAAAGGAAAGCAAATGGTGGGTGAAAAAATTGGGGAAAGCGGCTAGAAAAACCTCGACGTCGACATTTGCGGTTTGCTATACAAATGACCGACCGCCGCCGACTGCCCCGCCCACTTAACGAAAATTATACAATAATGGCGTCAACATTAGCAAATTGTGCGCTTGTCGCAGCGCAGTTCC